TCAGAATCGTGCACCAGTATCATATATAACGTCTTTTGGATATGATTGATGAGAATCTGCATATGCAAAGAGGTATTATTTCGCCGCCATGCGTTGCTTATACGTTGTGTAACGGTCTCAACAAATATGTATGCAAGCAGAGAATTGTGTGGCGGAAGACGATGTGCATTTTTGTTTATTATTTTCAGCACACACGACGATAAGTCATTCAAGCTTCATCGGCTCGAGCGTAAAATATTGCTATAATACGTCCCGTCAAACAATTAAGAGCAAGCCAGTTGACCATTTGTAACCATCATTGATTACATTGGGCAACGATGATCTGATAAGCAAAGAACTAGTGCTTGATGATTGTTTGTCATTTCTCAGCAATGTGCCAAAAATGGTAACTTGTCTAACCAAAACAACCCGATTTTTTTCTATCAAAGTATAGCTGGAACGTTTATATACAATACAGCTCCCCAATTTTTCCTCTTTTTTTTTCTTATATAAGCGCAAAAAAAAAGGTACAAAAATGACGACATCAAATCTTTACAAGCTGTTCAATAAAAACGTAGCAGCGACGGATCATGACGAAAACAATAATACGCTTCTTAACGGAAACCTACAACCGCCTCACAATGAAACCGACGATGGCATAGAATTTGGCAGCAACAACAACTACTATACGATGCAAAAGTATTATTTGGGAGCAACAACAGCTACTAGAACTCTGAAGCACCATGATCGACTGTTCGTCGGTTATGGCGACGAGAAATCCGATGATACGAGCAATACTTTGGCATCAATGAGCCCTGACAAAGCGATCATTTCACTTGAGCAGCGAAGAATTTTTCCTCGGGTCGATTTTGTGCGACGTTTGCCACGCGAGCTGGTGTACGAGATTTTCTGCTACATTAATTTCCTTGGTTTTGCGACATGTACCCACGTCAGTAAAGCATGGCGAGCGATTCTGATGAATGACGTTTGGGCACGACGATTTACTAGTTTCTGCTCCGCATACCCGTTCAACAAGCTAACTCCAGAAGAGCAAAGATTAATACGTCATGGATTATCACGTGAAAGGCAACAGCGACGCGGGCAAGAGGACACTACTACTATGGTTGTTATAAGGGCGCAGACCTATGATCGGACTCGGGCGCTCGTCGCTATGGGCAATTGTGGGTTGCATGCAGTTGGTACGGCAAAAAATGGCTCATCCTATAATAAGTACTTAGTAACATGTATAAAAATGCCGCAATAGACCTCAATGGCTCTCTGGACGATGCAGAAACAGTGGTCCGAGCAAATCAAAAGACTCTCAAGGAGCTAAATGTTTCAATTTTGATGTCGTCACCATCGTCTCTTCAATCCATGTACCCAATATTGACGGCAATAGCAAGCTCGAAGATATCGAAACTATGTCTCACTGTCCCGTTTAACTTGAGTTCTAGTGATCGTTGTCCTGACGGTGTAGAGAACAATAGCAGTACGGTGGAAGCTCAACAGCAGCTTATGCCACTATTAGTCGATATTCGTATCAATGGATATTCTTCCACGGAACTTAGGCTTAACGTCATTCGATTTTTTCTAACGCATTGTCCTTATATCAAATCTCTTACTGCCCATCCAATCATACCGCGTATGCCCGACATAGAAGAAGAGTTAAATAGCATCGAGAAGCTTGCTCCAGTTTCCTTGCAAACCCTCATCGTTTAAAGAAATACTTGTATATACTCCGTATGTGCTATAGGATATCACTCTTAATATAAATCGTGTTTTGTTCTTGGGAGCTAGTTGAGATATGTATTCACGGAGAAAAAGGTCGACAGATGTACGCGACAAAGCGCTTTGACGGATATCGTTTGGTCTTGGCGATTCAAGGCATAAAGTACGTACATGCATGTACTACTACTAAGTGGAATTTTTACACAAAGCTTCTCGCCTTGCTAACGACAGGTTGTTGCCAGTTTTGCATATTCTACATGGCAAAAATATGTTTCAGAGATTTGTGCAAATGGGGTTGATATAACTATAAGCCTCAAGTGAAGTTCAAGGTTCATGTACATACTAGGCGCATTTAATTCTTTTTCTTTTCTTCTTGCACATCATTTTCTACTACTTTTCCTCTTTGCACCGGTAAGCATATCATACACCACAAACATTTTTTTCAACGTGAAAAAAAGACGAGTGAAAAGACAGAATATAGTGGAACGACAGCAACAAGGAACAACCACTCGCTTTCGTACTCCTCCTCCTTCAGTCCCGATCGTGTCCCAACTACTGGTACCAACTATATATAACAACATCAGGGGGGTCACAAACAACGCTCACAGGTGCAATCACTACTAGCTGCCAACCGTAAACTGACTTTGTTTGCTCAAATGTCTTACCAGTCGAGTTACTGCACAAAATCTGAAGGTTTGTGGACTTTAAAAGCTTTGTTATCTGCACTCGAGTCAGCTTGCGTTGGCGATATACAGTATGCTCATGGGTTCCGCCTGGCCGCTCTTGCTACCCTGATTATCGCTCGAATCTCCTCGCTATAATGACACCGCAAGAATTACAGTAGCCAGTTTGCATGGCTGGTAGCAGTAGTAATGAAGACGGTCGACTCTGGCAATAACAAGTTCACATTGGCGGCCGCTACCTCGTGGAAATGGACGGTTCGCCATGTTTGGTTCAAAAGGAAGATTGTAATTTTCACGCAACTGGTAAGTACATAATAAGAACCTTGTAGTAGTCGTAGAAGTAGAGAAGTAGCAGCAGGCCTCTTAGCATAGTCGTATTTCTAGCATCACAATTATACCGTTACAAACTAAGTTGTTCAGCTTTTTGGATAAGATCACATCGATTTACTATTACTGTTTGTAAAAGGCAGGCTCTTTCACGGGCCATTAAATTCTTCAACACGTACTTCATCAAAGGAGAGCATTATGTAACGCCGTTGATAAATTATACTAGTAGCAAGGTTAACGGGAATTCTCATTGATCACAATGATTACGAAGAAGGTTCATATATCATAGCAATGATGCGTATGCCAAGGAGGAAGTAAACTTTCAAAGAAACTGCCGAGTTTTTCCGCATAGGCTTTCGAACGGGGTTTTTTCGATGTAAATTATTTCTTTTATCAAGCATTGCCCTTCGTCTAACGCCTTTTTTACTCGATTTAAAATAGATCGCATTGCTCGTCAGCAAGCTACTAGAAGCGTTTGAATAAATGCTGGAAAGCAGCAAAAAAAATTACCCACGCTGGGTAATAGAATAGGTAATGTGACCTTGTTCACAGGGTAAACATATAACCAAAAAATGATGGTAATAGTTGGAAACGGATCTGTAGAATCCGAATACTTGGAATAATGATTCTTAGGTGATGATAGTGCCTGATCCGTAATCTGAAAGGCAAAAAAAAAAGAAGGGACGTTTGACAGGCTCAGGGTGGGACACCGGAACAATTACTTAAAAAAGGCAGATAAGCGAAGGGTTGGACAGAAAAAAAAACACCCAATGGCCGGTTAAAAGGGGCGCGAGGTCATGCCAGTAGTAGTATGTGATCCACGGAAGGTACTGGATCTCAAAGAATCGTTGTATAACGATGATCCGAATGAAGGGGTTGTCTATTATATCATGTGTGAAACAGGGCCATGTAATTTTCCACATTTATGGAATGTGACGCGAAATAATCTAAATGTAAAGAAAGAGACACTGTTACTAAGCATAGGAACTACTAACAACACCTGAAGATAACTTTTACTCTTACAGAAGAACATGAATACAAAAGCGTTCTCAACCAAATAAAAAAAGGGCTTTCTCGTATCACCAGTAGTACTAGTGGGGGTTCGGCACAAAGCGAATAAAGTATCTTTTCATCGATCATTATAACTATGGCGATTTATGTTATCATATCGTGAAGATATTTGCCATTGTCAGCTTCTGAAGAGATACAAAAATATAACAGCAGAAAGAGTAGTGCTACGTTTATTGATTGACACATTGCTGACATTGGCTATTATGTAGTTGATAGAGTACCATGATGCTGCGAATGAGCACATCCACCCCATGGATACCCCGGAATATATAGCTTCTGTTCTTGTTCCAGAGGTAGGTATGCGCCTTATTGGGGAAAATCTTGAGTCGACTGGTGAGACAGAAGAAGATTGCGAGTGCACCATTAGCCTAGCAAAAGATTACAGTCCCCTCAGCAATACGACGCTTTTCCGGCATGGAGAGTAGCGTTGACTACGGCTGTTTTTAATATCCAGGCGACGATGACTCAGACAGTGAAGATTAGGGCAATCATATACTTTGATAAATATAAAGCTGAACCATACATCATCTTCTCCAACATAAACTCTATACACTTTCACTTTTTTTCTCTTTCTCCACAGTATATTCTTCTAATAAAAAAAGAAAACGAATAATGTTTAGAAGGCAACATAATAAAAGTGGGTCTACACAAAGAATTACACTTCCACCCTTTTTTTGGTCTACGCAAGGAATTACAGATTGTAAGGAAAAATCTGAAATTGGTGTGGGGAGAAGGTTGGTCTACCGAAGGAGTGAAGATAAGTAGCAGAGGGGACATGTGTAACGGATGTTTAAACGCCTATTTGGGAAAAATTTGTCCCACAATTTTCCCCCCAAAAAAAAAGACGCAGAAACGGAAAAAATAAATCTTCTTTTGGTAAAATGCACTCCTTTACGTTAAAGATTCACGCGTTTATTGTACAACTATTACGTGTGTGTTTCATTCCCCCTATTGTTTGTCTAAAGCTTGGTAGTATGCTTATTATTAGCAGCAGCAACGGCAGCAGCCGAAGTGCCTGCCTTGCGCGCCAGGATTGCACCCAACATGAGTCCACTAAGAGGTTTTTTTTGTTGTTGACGTAAATTTTGTATGAATGAGAAAAAAAAAAGGCATCGTCTTCCCACACACAACATCATTGTAGATTTAAAAGTATCTTGGACTCACCTCCCACCAGGGTAATTGTCGTAAAAGGCGCCACCCACAATTTCGCCTGCAGCATACAGGTTGCTGATTGGCTGGGAATGTGTGTTGAGAACAGCGGCGGTTACCGGGTCAACGCCTAAACCACCAAATGTAAACGTAATACCTAGAGAAAAGGGTTAGATGATGAACAGCTTATTGCTAGAGGAACGGGGAGCTTCGTTTCGCAACCTACCGGTAGTGATCTTGACGGCGACAAACGGAGCCTGATCGATAGACAATGCCCAGTTGGATTTAGGTAACTTGAGCTGTTTCTGAGAAGACTGAGTCGACAATCCGTCCTTGACAGCCGGATCCCATTTGACGTCCGGGTTTTCGCGTCGATGCGCCGCGACGGCATCATTGTATTCGCAAATCGTATCCACCAATGCCTGCTTGCTGGACAAGGTTGCCTTCCACGAACCCTTCTTTTGCGCAGCCAATTGCTCGGCCAATGCCTCGATCGAGTTGGCAACCACCTTGTGGACCACATGGTCCGCATACTCTTCCTCGCGCAACCACGGCAACGCCTTGGCATCAAAGATCTGGAACGCAACACTGCCGGGCTGATGCATGATTTCCTTGCCAAAGAACGCATACGTGTAGTTACGGAAATCCATGCCTTCATCGACAAACCGATGGCCGTCGCGGTTGACCATGATGCCCAAGGGATACCCGCTCTTGGTGAACTGGTTGGTCAGTACCGTGTCGCCCTTGTTGGGGTCGGTGCTGGCGTCCCAGCAGGTGGCATGACACGAGCTATATCCGCCTGCCGTTTTCGCATTCACGTCGCGCTGTGCGATCATCAAACCGTCACCGGTGTTGAAAGGCGTGCCACGGACGTGTGCCAAGTCCCAATGCTTGCCCAGATACTGTGCACGCATGGAGGGCGAGGCTTCAAATCCACCACACGTCAAAATGACCGCATGGGACGTAATCGTCTGACACGTACCGGTGCTCTGCAAAAGTGCCTCGAGACCGAGGACCTTGTTTGTGTGTACGTCGGTCACCAAACGCGTCATGCTGGTACCGTATTGGACAGCCACGCCATGGCGGAGCGCGGATGCGTGGTATTGCTGGATCATGCCTTTGCCACCATCCACAACGCTGAGTACCATCCCGCCCCAAAACTTGAAACGTCCGTCTACCTTGTACGCTTGACGATTGAATGACAGACGGAACTGGATGCCCACCTTGCTTAGCCAGTCGATGGTCTCGCGACTCTTGCCCACGAGGACATTGGCAAGATCTGGATCGGCACGGCCACCGGTCACGCGCATAAGGTCGTTCATAAAGTTGTCGGGCGTGTATGGGTCCATGTCAATCAGCTTGGCTGTTTCGGCATCCACGTTATGTAAAATAGGCAGGAGATCATCGAGGCCATCAAAGACCGTGCGAAATGCCCCTGTATTTTCCGTGTTGACAACAATGAGAGATAGAGTGGTTGGTACATTTTGTTACTTTGTGTGTATGCGTGGAGCGTAGTGGCAGCAGATTGTTACGTTACCTGCAGTAAAGTAGCTGTTTCCGCCCGGATAGGAAGTCTCGGTGGATTTTTCAATCAAGAGCACGCGGCCCGCACCGGCTTGCTTGGCAGCGATCGCGGCAGAATAACCAGCATTGCCACCGCCTACAACGACAACGTCCCATTGAGCCATGTTTTGATAGATGAGTTGCTTGTTTTGTTTTGTTTTTTTTTTTGCAAAAGAAGGAAAGAGGTGATGGTTTATGCTTTCTTCCCCTGTTCGGCGCAAAGTTTTAGGGGCGTTGATTTATGCCCTTTTTTAGCCTCAAGGAGAAACGTTCCTTTTTAGGGCAAAATTTGTAACGGCGATGGGCTTCTTTGATGATGCAGCTTCTTTGGGTGAGTGGATAGTAGTACCTTATGTTGCATGCACCTGGGCCCCCAATCATCAACAGCTTCATCCGCATTGTCCAGTAAAATCAAAAGTTGGTCAGCATTAGAGTTCCTAAACGTCCCGTTCTTTTCGCTCTTTGTTCGTGTGTAAAACAAACAAAGATTGACGTCTTATTCGCAGAGATAATAAACTTCCCGATATATACAATAGTGGTGGTCATACCGCGGAAAGGGTTTGTTGTTTGGGGGAAGGGTGGTTCTTCGGAAAAAGAAGGGTTGTTGGAATGGAAGGACGCATGTACATATTTTAGAGATGTGGGAAAGGAAGGTAGAAAGGGTAAACACTTTTCCCTTTTTGAGTTTCCTTAGTGGCGTCATTACCCTATGAGACGGTGACAAAACGATGCAGTCGGATCAAAAGGTGTCTGTGACACACATCAACACGAGAGACAAAAAGCTTAAAGTTATGAATTCTTGCTTCTTTTGCCGAATTGTTCTTTGTTTGTGTGATGATGGCCAGCAGCTCCCACGCTATAGGCCTATACAAGCACATAGAAAAAAAAACAGTAGAGTTGGACTTGCAGATTACATGAAGGTTTCTACTTATTGCATTGTACATGTGATGGGGCTCTTTAACGGTGGAAAGCACCGTACTATGCCAAAACAACGGACTGTCCCGCTTCTTTACAGTAAAAGTGCCTAGATTGTGTACACGGTAGGATCATGTTGCAGCATGCGTACTTTGCAATCGGATCATGTATACGCTGGGAAAAAAAAACAAGATGTGCTTATTGGAAATACTTATCACACAACAGCTTGACAGTTCTTGCCCTATTTCCCCCCGCTCTAACACCAGCCTCCTCTTCTCCTTACTTTTATCTCGCTGCAATGACACGCGGGCTGGAAGGTAACCCTGGATAGATAGATACTCACGCACAGGAAACTCGCAAAACTACGAATATAAAACCGTCCAGGATTCTTCTTTTTTCTTTTTCACTTACACACTTTCTTTTGTTCAAGAGTATATAAAAAAAAGATGCCGGCAAACAATGACACCAAAGAGGAGGTCACAACACATGAAAATGGCGTCGTTCCTTCTACTACGACACAAGCCATGAAGGATGTCGAGTCAATGGGTGACGCCAAATCTACTGTTAGTCAGCATGATGAAAAGAAGCTTCTTCGGTAAATAACTACCCTGCGTTATTATGATGCATCATTCTCACGTTTTTGTTGATATTTTATTGTATCAGAAAGCTGGACTTGCGGTTGTTGCCAATCTTGTGTGGACTCTACCTATTGGGCTACTTGGATCGGTAAGAACTCTAAAGTTGATTCCATGATGATGGATTTTTTTTTCATTGACGTTGTTATGTTTCTATCATTTAAGGTCCAACATTGGTAATGCCAAACTCGGCGGCTTGTTGACTGATCTGAACTTGACGACAGATCAGTTTCAATGGTGTTTGTCCATCTTTTACTTTGGTTACGTTATCTTTGATATCCCTTCAAACATCATCATGAAACGATGGCGTCCGTCCTTTTGGCTGGCTACTCTTACTTTGTAAGCTTCTGTTGTATATACATATACATATATATATATATATATCGTGTTGACCTTGGTACTGATATATATATATATATGTATGCCTCGTATATAGTACATGGGGTATTGTCGCCATGTGTATGGCTGCCGTAAAGGATTTCGCTGGCTTACTTGTCTGTCGTCTCATGCTTGGTATTTTGGAAGCAGGTATGTACCCCATCAGTATATACAGATGCACGCGTGTTGTATGCATGCATGCTAATAATGTAATAACGTGGCTTTTCCTGCATGCAGGTTTCTTCCCAGGTGTCCTGTAAGTTGCATTGCTGCAAGGGCAAAGAAAGAGGTTGCAGCTGGGATGGTATTTCGCGGGAAAATAACAAGGACACAAGTGATCTGGAGTTGTGGCTAACCAGTGGTCTTTTTCTAATTCAATGCACGTTTCATTGTTAGTTTCTTCTTGTCTATTTGGTACAAGCGAAGAGAATACGGTCGGCGCGTCAGTTACTTTTGGTCATTCAGTTCCTTGGCTGGTGCATTTGGCGGTTTGATTGCTTACGGCATTGCAAAAATCCCTACGCATATCTTGAACACGTGGCAATGGCAAGTTCATGTGTATAACTAACCACAGGCAATACCATTGATTGTACTAACGGTGCATCATCTCCAAATACAGGCTTTTCATAATTGAAGGTGCACCCTCTGTGGTACTTGCCTTGTTTGCTGCTTGGTACTTGCCCAATAACCCTGAAACCGCAAAGTTCCTTTCCACTGACGAACGTGAATTGGAAGTTTCCCGGCTTGCAACAGGTAATGCATTATCCCCCGCCTTTCAGTGCAGCATGCATTGTACTCCTCCCTCCCTCCCACCCCCCCCCCCCGGGGAATTCTATTACATACTACTACTAACACACCAGAATAATTATTATTATTATTCTTAGATCAAGGACCTGCTAACGATCATTCGTGGTCGTGGCCCCGTGCCGTGTCTGTGTTCACCGACTACAAGACATACACATTCATGTTCATTTACATCACTGGCACAAGTGCTCTACAAGGCGTCACCTTGTTCTTACCATCGATCATATCGGGTATGGGTCAATGGGATCGGGCCGCTTCGCAAGCCTTGACCACACCACCTTACTTTTTGGCATTCATTCTCACTAATGTTGCTGGCTGGAGCTCTGGTAAATGTCGTTGGTGTACACCACAATCAAAAAGAGAGAAACCCTCTTTTTTTTTGTTCAACCTTTACTCAATTATTTTCACTTTTTTAAAAAAGATCGATTCTTTGATCGTGCGTATCATATGGTTGGCATCAACTTGATCGGCATGGCTGGTTTCTTGATGCTTATGTTCATCCCCGAGGGACAAGTGGGTGTGCGTTATTTTGCTGCCTGCGTTTGCACTGTTGCTGTGGTACGTTACACACACACACACACACACATTCCAAGATGTTACTGTATACTGTACAAATGAAGAGAAAAGCTAACAAGTGTGAATGTAATAAAAAAAAAACATAGTACGCCAATGTGCCAGTCAAGGTCGCCTGGTTCAACAATAACTTTGCCGGCTTGACCCGGCGTGCACTTGCTTCAGCGGCCATTGTTGCCATTGGTACGATTGGAGGTGCTATTGGCGGCCAGATCTACTTTGACGAACCACTTTATTTTGGTGGCAACACGATTGCATTCTGCTGTCTTGGCGCACAAACAATTGCGGATTTGGGATTACGGTTTATGTTGGCACGCGAGAATAAGCGACGTGACAAGCTGACTCAGGAGCAAAAGGAGTATGAGATCTTCAAGCACGGCGGTGAAGAATTGGCTGGTGATCGCCATCCAGACTTTCGCTATGTACTGTAGAGAGAAAGATCCATTGTATTTCTTACTATTATTACACATCACAACGCTATGTACTGTAGAGAGAAAGATCCATTGTATTTCTTATTATTATTACATATCACAACTTGTATTATTCTCTCAAATAGCACAGCTACTACATACAGTGCTACTTTTTATAAACACAGACTTCTTTTCCTTATCAGTACTGTAACGACTACTACATAGAAAGAGTCATGGACTACGTGGGTCTACAAAACGGCCATTCATGCAGCAGCAGACAGTGATGACATGTCCAAAGAAGGAATAGTGGTTGCTGTTGTTGTCAATGCTTCTGATGGAACAGAGACAGTGATGGACGATGACCAATGAAAGAGAGTGAAACATTACTTTATCACTTGCTGCTTTTGGGAAGGGCAGCAGCACCCGCAGGTTGTAAGCAACTTGTCGTATCGATACAGCAGCAAGCAGCAGCAGCAAGCAAAATGGACGTTCATATGGTAACATGAGTTTCTTTCTGCTTCCTGGCAGCGAGCAGGTCGCAACCCCAAGGACAACAGGTTATGGTCATGACATTCTCGTTGTCGTCGTCGTCGTCGTCGTCGTCGCTAGCCTTGGAAGAAGAGCCATGGTTCTGGAGGCTTACGATGTTCAATGACACCGTGTTCCATACTTGGGACTTTTGTAATGCTACAACGACCATTGACCAAGCGCATATGAAACAAAGAATCTTTTGCTCTCTTTGTCTTTTTTTCTTTTTTCTACTCAACATCCCCAAAAAAAAAAGTAGTAGCAGTAGTTATCCTTGACACCCTCTCATCTTTTTTTTTTTCTTCTTCTTCTTCTTCTCTTTATCTTTCTTCTCACTCACACACACACACACAATCACTCATCATCACTACTGCTTCTTTCTCTAAAACACACACATACACAATCAAGCGTACAAAAAGACAATTTTTCGCTTAGCATCCAAGTCTTATGGCCCGCACCAAAAGTAAAGTCAGACAGACTGTACCTGTCGGCGGCGACAGTGGCGGTAGTGGCCGCAGTCGTGAAAGTAGCACAAGCATTATTGCTGGTCAACAAGGCCAACACGCTCAAGCAGTGGCTACTCCTATCGGAGGACGACGTGCTCGTCGTTATTCCCTTCCTTCTTCTACTCCCTCGGCTTTGCATCAGCAGCAACATGGCATTCTGCCGAGTAGTAGCTCCATGCACAATGACAACGATGGCCATGACAACAAGAACAACAACGTGAATCAGCCCATGCTGCAGCCACGACGATCAGCTCGTATCCGTCAAAGACCCTCTTCGCCTACGGAGGATGAAGACGAGCATCATGAAAACGGTAGCAAACAACAAGGCGAACAAGAAGATCAAATCATGGCAAATGTTGACTATCAAGAACAAGAACAAGGGGTCGGAAAAAGACAGCAGGGTGGTTCTTCTTTGAGTGGTACGCCTGCTCCCGGATCTCCTGAGGGCAGCAGCACAACCGCAGGTCGACGCGGTGGAACACGTCATGGGATCCAGACGGAGAACGAGGACAGTCAGTTTGTACTGCGATGGTAAGAAAAGAGTGTAGCGTTGGGTGGTGGTGGTGTAGGTGATGGGGAAGTGATAAAGTATTTTATAAAACAAAGAGACACCAACCCCCTCCTTTTAATCTTGCATGAAAAAAAAGGGTCCAAGACAACTACCAGTACGAGCAGGATCACAATGTCCCACGAAGCGGCATGTACGAGCACTACCGATCGACATGCGAACGGTGTAACGCCAGCCCTGTCAATTCCGCCACTTTTGGCAAGCTTATCCGCCATGTGTTTCCCGAGATCTCCACCCGTCGGTTGGGCACTAGGGGGCAATCCAAGTACCACTACTGTGGCATCCGTCGTCGGGCTGGTCCAAATCTAGCGCCGCCTCCTCCTTTCCATCGTTCCCGGCACCAGCAACAACACCTGTATCACGCTGAGACCGCATCTTCTTCGACTACTGCTGCTGCTGCTGCTGCTCCTCCTCCGCCGCAGCAGCCACCCGCTTCTTCGACTTACTACAGTCAGCCAGTCTCAACCCGACGGATTCGAGCAACTACAGGCACGAGACCTTACCATCGTCGTCCCAGACCCATGTCGCCTGACGACAACAGGTTCGTAAGACAACCCTTTTACTATTTTACTGTGACCATGGCTTTTGTGTTTTTGGGGGAAAAGCTAATATATCAATCTTCTATACAGTCCGTCTGGTCCAATGGATATTTCGGGTCCTTCTTCATTTACTGAGCTTGCTGCATCGCATCGTCCTTATCACCACTATCTTCACCATCATCAGCAGCAGCAGCACCCATTCATGCCGCCGTCGTCACCTTCTCCTTCACCTACCGCTTCTTCGTTTCCTCCTCGTGCTCGAGGAGCATTTGCTGGTGCCGGCATTGTACAACACCAACAGCAGCAGCAGCAAGACATGACCTCTTCTTCACTTGCTGCTGTGTCTCGTCCCACTGATGCCACTTTAGCACATCAACCATCCAAACGAACGCGTCTGGGCGATCCAGTCCCAGACTATCCATCAACCCCACGCACCGATCTTCATCTGCCAGCTTTCACTACGCTGACCTTTGCGAGCCAAAACGACACGATGCACGAATTTGCACATGTGTACGAAATGCACTGCACTGAGATTTTGCACATGATTCGCAGTGGCCAGTTTCAAAGCGTAAGTATATTTGTTTTTTGTCTGCTATGCTTTGTCGTATATATACGTGTATATCTATTAAACGTCGTTTGGGATATATACACATCTACTGCAGATCTACGGAGTCTTGGTTGGATTTTATCACATGCTGCCTGACCGTTTCCGCACCTTGATTGATGAACAACCCCAAGCCGCGGACGCCATCTGGCGCTGGGATTGCGCCCTCTATGACGCAGTCATCGTGACCATGCTGCCCACGATCCAGTCTCCCTTGAGCTATGAAATGAACAAGGCCTTGCGTGAATACACTCGCGATCTTGAAAATTACTTGAGCGATTCGCTCCATGGCTATCCCGACAATCTGCGTGAGCTCAAAACTGATGGTAAAACAAACCCCCCCCCTTTCGATTTTCTTTTTTCTGCGTTGTTGTTGTTGTAAACAAGTTACTCATAATGATCATAAAGTTGCCCGTATCTTTGTCTCCAAGTTCCGTCGCCATTTAAAGCTGAACCAGATGGCCCAAGCAGCTGCAGCATTGCTTCGTCGACCCAACACACTGGAGCCTATGCGTCAAGACTGGGATAGGGTGGATGTTGCTTCGATTTTGGACCAGACACATTGGCCATGTGATTGTGATAGCGCCGAGATCCGTCGTATCTTGGTCTTTGATATCACCAATCTCTTGAACTCGGAGGCAAGCTTGGATCATTGGATATCTTGGATGCAAGGCGTTGTCGATCGCTACATGACAACGCATCAACAGAAGGCTGTAAGTGGATTCCCTTCCCCTCCTTCCCTCATGTACATACACACGCTATCCATGCCAGTGGATTAACTCTCTTTTCTTTGTTGTAGGGTCGCAATCACGGCTATCTCATTTTCTATGCCAAGCAGTTTATGCTCAAGTGGTCTGTGTATACCTCGTTGATTATCAAGGACATGACACTGACCGGTGCAAAAAGTATTGGTAAGCTTATCAACATTTCTTGTGAAACAAAAAGAAAGATTAATCAACATTTCTCTCTCTGCCTACGTTTTGATACAGATCAATTCAGAATCTTGACGTTATTCTTTGATGACATGATGCAATACTTGATCGAGGAACGACTCGCAAAAGTGATGGCAAGCAGTCCATTTGCTCAGCAGCCATTGACGGTAGCAGCTGCGGCAGCCGCACTCAATACTACCAGTACTGGAGGCAGCAGTAGTAGTGCCCCCGCGACATCTCCTCCTCCTTCATCGGCACCAGCAGCAGCAAAAACAGGGGCAGAGGCAGCACAAGCTCGGGGTCAACAAACGTCAACATCCACTGCTACCACTACTACTGCTGTTGCAATGCTTGATACGCCTCCCCCTTCCACCACTGCATCTTCTCATCGCGAGCATCATTCGCAAGATCAGCAGCGGCAGCAGTCGCCTCCACAACAGCACCTTCGACAACCGACTCCATCGCAATCTTCGACCGCAACACAATAAGACGCCAGGTCTTATCTCAAACAAAAACTTTGCTACACGACCATGCCACTCCACAGAAACTTAGCAATAGCAGTATAGCAGCGAAAAAAAAAGAAAAACACATTTGCATATCCGTCGTATTCACCTTCACCCTCTTCTTTTGCACACGATAATCTCTTCCTCTTGCGTAATTCCTTTTCTTCCTCTGCACTCTTTCTTCCAATAACAACCCCATCTCATCAATTCACAGCCTTGATTTTCCAAATCTACTTGTGCGTTAGTATTTTTCTTTTTTTGGCATTTTACTGGATTGAATCCGCCCCCCCAAACACACTATGCAGAATCTCAGCAGAAAATAATAAAGGATATATGTCTCGTCTTCTGTATCAAGGACTTATTATGCGTACTAGTATATAAAATGTGGAAGCGCGCCGCCCGTGTCGTGTCTATTGAAAGGTTGTGTGTTACATGGAAGTAATGCGCGACGTCTGACTTTTTATTTTGCGCTTGATATGTAACACAGCTATTGCAACACCTTGTTCCTTCCAACCCAACACATACACAGAATTGTTTTATGCGATTGAGCTGTCTGGTGACCATCGTCACGATCCTGTTGCTGAATGCTTCTTGTGCCTCTGGTAATAGGGGGGGGGGATTAACTTTTCTTAACCGATCAAAACATTGTCGCGCGTTGGGAGAAAACTAATGGGTCTCTCCGTCATCTTTGATTAAAATAGCACAGGACATTGCTACCAGTCTTTATCCTTACATTTATACCAATCTCAATAACTGGCCATGCGTACGCTTATTAAATGCCACGAGTGTCATTGGCTGTCATGGTAATTGCTCGTTCTAGTTGGGCCCCCCCCTTTTAAAACCGAAACTCGTATTATTTTCTAACGTGTCGCCTTTTCTTTTTTTGAATGCATAAAAGCAAAGAAAACGGGTAGTGGAGTTCTTTATCACGTTCAATCGCAAAACCAAATGGATGATTTCGTTGCTGGTCAATTCGGGTCCTCAGATACTTATGGTATTGTGCTTGGCTACAACTTGTTGACAAAGTAAGTGTTGGGTCAAAAAAAGCGTGGCGGCGCGCGTGGCGGTGAGAAAGGAGGAAGGAGGAGGGCATTGCGGTTTTGGTATACTAAATTATTAACGCGCCATGTTTTATGATACAGTGATAATATTCATGCATTGCAGTCGACAGGTCGAGTGAATGGTTTGATTGTATTATTACGAGAAGCGATGGACGCAAAGGATTTGGTCAGTGTACATTCACCCGAAGGAGCCTGTCCAAACTGTGAATTTGGTCTCTATGCAGACGATGATGATCCTTACCAGTGGAATCCACAGGTAAAAAAGCGGCTCATTCATCATTGTGCTAAAGGAGGGAAAGGGGGGGGGAAAGTGAGAATTTATTCGACTCCAAAATGAAAAAAAAAAAGTTTGAAGGATGAAAGTATAAAGACTAAATGACTTGGTTTGAAAGGGTCAAGATCTACTCCAGCGTGCATTCGATATACCCATCTTTGGCATCAATCCAGTCAACAGAATATCCAAACAAATTTACAATTATGTTATGCGGGTAAAGTTGTGTTTGCTGCTTGAAATGACAACGTATGAAAAAGCAACTCCTGTTTTTGTTTTGACAACATAATCCAGACAGTAGAATATAATGAAGAACAAGGCTATGACAATTATCCATTACAAGCAGTGGATTTCGAATTATTCATGTGGGCTGCAGTGAACGCCGAAACCTGTCTTCGACGAGGATGGTGTGAGGTCGTCGGTGGCATGTCGGTGTATTCTACCCCATCTTTCGATATCCAAGCAGACGACAACAAACCTATTGTGATGCTAACAGCTGCCATGGACGGACGATCCTTATTCCACGATCTTACCAATGGAGCAGTCCACGATGTCTCTGGACTTGTGGGTGTGCTTGCAGCAGCCGAAGCACTCAGTCATGTCTCAACAACAGATCTACCCAAACATATCCTGTATACGCTGTTTACTGCTGAATCGTGGGGGTATGCAGGATCTCAACGCTTCGTACAAGATATATCACAGCCATTCACCTGCACCAATGCATCACGCGCTGTAGCCTGCCCTTATGGTAGCAGTGCTCCTTGCACTAACCCGTGCGTCCGAACCTTGGACTTTAAGCGGATCAATTTCGACACTATCGACGCAATCATTGAACTGGGCTCGGTTGCGAATGCATCTGGCAGTGAGCATTATTGGGCGCATGTGGATGATACCCAAACCAGCCAATCTATCATTGCTACATTGCAACAACAGAGTACGACAGGTGGCAGCAGCAGCAATAATAATAATACACATGCAACAGCAGCATCGGTTCGTTCGGCAAATGAGGATAATGTACAACGTCGATTGCCGCCTGGAAGTAGTACGATGAGCTTCCTCAAACAAAAACGAAACATACCAGCAGCAGTGATCACGGATTTCCAGAAAGAGCTTGGAAGGTACGTAGCATAGGGCAAAGCTGGTGTAAAAAAATGGATAATTAGTGTGCGAGACCCAAAAAAAAAAATAGGCTGCTTATACTCGAATTTTATATACATCCTAGTTTGTACAACAGCGATCTGGATGATGACACGGAAACAGTTAATTTGGCATCCATCTGTCAGCTGGCCACAACCACAGCTAGGACAGTGTACCTGCAGGCACAGGGTAACACGAGCATAGCTAATCAAATCACTGCCAACTGCACCTTGGTCGAATCCTTGATGGATTGTCTGGTCTCCAATTTCTCTTGTCCACTCATGCAAAATTATTTCAACGGTAAAAGTACAGGCACTCTCAAATGGATATACCTAGTTCCCCCCCTTCCTTTGACTCATGTTTATTCTTTATAGTGTCGGGCATCAATCGTATTAGTCACTACGCCTCAGTGTTCAGTTTCCGCAATCCACAACCGCAGTTATTATCACGATTTGTCTTTACGTTCCTAGCCGATGTAACGCGTCGTCCTCAACCTCAAAATCCGTCATCCGCATGTACAACGATTCAGGATTGTCATAGCGGCGAATATTGTGTCAGGCAACAATGTGTTCAAACATTTACTAATTATCACGATGCATATGGAACTGGATTGTCGTATGACGAAGCGACGGGTGAAATTCTTGTCGTTGATCCAACAAAGCCTACCTGGACTGAAAGCACGTAAGTCAGTTCCTTGATTGACTATAAGCAAAAAAAAAAAAGGTATCGAGAAATGAGTAAACAAAAATAAAAAAGAGAGCTAATAAGGGTCCTTCCATCCTCCCATACACACACCTTGGGTTTATGTAGGTGGAACACACCCGTATTTCGAACGTTCCTTGTGACGTCAAGAAAACAGCAAGCCATCGAGTTAGTGGTGGGCGTATTATGGACGGTGATCAGTATAGTAGGAGTGATTTTTGGCAAACGGTATTTTAGAAAGACCTTTAAAACCGAATAATAGAACAGTATCTTCTAGCACATTTTGAAGACGGATCTATTATTACTTTTGTGGCCTTCAATGGCAATGGACGTATTGCGAAAGTTTCCCTACATACAGCACATTACACAAAGTATGCGAGCGCTCATAAAGGACTACACAGTGTTTACCCCCCCCACACAGTGAAAACAATAGTATGTGGAAGGGAGCTTATTATCATCCTTCATCCGGACTCAGCTCACTACATACAACATCCGTAATCCAGTAATCGATATTAATTGGTCATATCTCTTCTTTTTCTGGTACCAAGTGGCTCATCTTTTCCATTACTTGAATGCTTCTTAAACAGAGCTCCACTGGTACTTGATAGCTTACACTCTAGACATTCAAGACAAAAAGGACTTGGCAGATGCTTTCCTTACGATTCCAACCTACAGGAACTTCCATCCTATCTCAAGAGGCTTGCTACTTTGCACGCTGCTCCATCTTGAATGACTACTTTGTAGCTTCTTTATCCATAGTTCATCTTCGCTTCTTACTAAAATCTTCAGTTCGAATCGGCAGAACTGATATATTTTATTTAAAAAAAGGAAATAAAAAAAAGCGGACGTGAAAAGTGTGAAAGTGCCGGTTATCATGCTTTTGTAAAAAAACAGATTGCCAGAATTCTCGTGCAAAAAACCCTCCATACCATTTTGTCAATACCTGTTTGTCTTGGATCTCTTTTTTTTTACACGTGCGGACTGGAGAACGATTTAATCCATGTAGTAAGAAAGATCATGGTCGATGATAAAGTAAAAAAAATAATTCCAAGCCCAAGGTTTTGGTCATGTTGTGGTCATTTGTTTGCATGTGCGCACAACTGATTCTGGTTGACACATTTTCCTTTATCGTATTTTGCTTGCTGATTCTCGCTTGGTACGGGTTAAAGGTCTCTTTGAATTCGAGCGTGATACCTTTGAAAGAAGCAAAACCTGCTTCTGAAGCGATCGAAGAAACCTGGAGTTTCTCTTGAGTGGATGATTTGATGAGCCTGGACGAGTGCATTTCATATTCTTTTAGATCTGCAATAGAACGAAACTGTACCCAATGAGAAAACATAAGCGTTTTGTCTTTTAGGAAACAAAATTAGCATGGAGCAGAACGCTGTATATATATACATAGTTGCCTAGTTGGAAGCATATAATTACGTCTTAAAATCCGAATTTGCTCTATTTCATCTCATAAAGGGCTTCGTTCTTTCTCCCAATTGGTACTTCTATAATAACAACACGTCTTCTAGTAAGTGGCCATACAAAAGATCTTCCTGTATTGCACGAACTTAATACTGACGCTTTTTTAGTGGTACGCGTCTGTTCAGCGTCAACCTTACCTTTGCCTCTGAAAAAATGTTACGCGATTTTACCTTTCAGGAGGGTTTGGGTCAAAGTGGGCACTGTTCTGTAGACAGAGTTTAACGTGGTTATCTACGCTCTCTGAGAGTAAAATGCGCCCAAGTGTTGTTGATTGAAGCCTTTCGCCTATGTCTATATACTTGACGGGGACCCAGGACCTTTAACAAACCCTAGAAGATCAAACTTTGGGTGGGGTATATTCTGAACGTGCTTGTGCGTACACTTTCCATTATTGCTGTGATTATTCTCACTGGTTCTTGCTCCGTTCATTGCAATGCAATAGATTTTTGCATATATGTATCCGATAAAGTAGTGGTCCTCATCAAAGATGTGGGCTACAATACTAAACCATGTGTGGCCAAGTTCAACTTTCTACTGTTCTATTAAGCAAAACGTCATTGGCTCACTCCTCATGAAACATAGCAATCGGACTTTGCCCCGCAACAATTCGTTGTTGGTAATACAAATTGTGCAGCGCACTTTGGCAGGGCAACCTCGACATGTGAATTGTGAATGCCGCCCTGTCCTCTAAATAAGCAGCTTTTCTTCGGGTCCCCACTTTTTTTTTGCTCTTTTCCTTCGCCTTCTTTCTATTTCCTGATACAGAACAACCGACCATGTTGAGAAACGCTGCTCGCTCCTTTGGCTTGGCTGCTCGTGCTATGCCCAAGAGGTAAAATTGAACCGTATAGTGCAACCTTTAGAAAACCCCTCTGCTGACCTGAATTGATTCAATCACGGTAAAGATCCTTCGCCCACTCTGCCATTGCGCGTAACGCGATTCCCGGTTCGCTTCAGACATTCACCGATGAAGAACTCATGCTCAAGGATGCTGGTAATATATACAAATACAAACACACATATATATATAAAAGGCGTTGATTTTTTGTCGGAAACGACCTTCTAACGCATACTGCTACCATCCTTCTTTAAAGTGTCAAAGTTTGCCAATGATGTCGTCAAGCCCAAAGTGCTGCAGATGGATGAGACTGAAGTGATGGATAAGTCTGTTGTCCAGGGTCTCTTCGATCAGGGTGTAAGTTTACAAATATCAAGTTATAGAGGGTTGGGCAGGATAAGTGGTTACCATCCCATCCATCCGATAAAGAAAGATGATGGCTGCTACGGATACTTATTGTGTTTTGGATGCAGCTTATGGGTGTAGAAACCGAAGCCGAATACGATGGCTCCAACTGCTCGTTCACCTCTGCCATCATTGTGATTGAAGAATTGGCCAAGATTGACCCCTCTGTCTCTGTCATGTGCGATGTCCAAAACACCCTTGTCGGTACCTTGGTTCGCAAGTACGGTAATAAAGATGTCAAGAAGCGCTTCTTGCCTCGCTTGGCCACCGATACTGTCGGTTGCTTCTGTCTTTCTGAAGCCGGCTCTGGTTCCGATGCGTTTGCTTTGCAGACCCGTGCTGTTGACAACGGCGACCACTATGTCTTGAATGGTTCCAAGATGTGGATCACTAACTCGGGCGAAGCTGATATCTTTTTGGTCTTTGCCAACTTGTAAGTGGTAGTAGATCTGCGAAAATAATGGATTAGACCCCCGTGGGAAAATGAAAGTTTCAACGAGTGATTAACGCAATGGCACAAATTTTTTAGGGATCCTTCCAAGGGCTACAAGGGCATCACCTGCTTTGTCGTCGAAAAGGAAATGGGCGTTGAAATCGCCAAGAAGGAAAGCAAGTTGGGTATCCGTGCCTCGTCTACCTGCGTATTGAATTTTGATGATGTCAAGGTTCCCAAGGAGAATGTGTTGGGTGAGATCGGTAAGGGTTACAAGTACGCCATCGAAATCCTCAATGAAGGCCGTATCGGTATCGCCGCACAAATGCTGGGTATCGCTCAAGGTGCCTATGACATTGCCTTGCCCTACCTGTTCCAGCGCAAGCAGTTCAACACCAACATTGGCGACTTCCAGGGCATGCAGCACCAGTATGCTCAAATTGCCTTGGAAATTGAGGCTGCTCGCTTGTTGACCTACAATGCTGCTCGCATGAAGGAAGAAGGCCGTACCTTCATCAAAGAAGCCGCCATGGCCAAGCTGTACGCTTCGCAGGTCGCTGAAAAGGCTGCCAGCAAGGCTATCGAATGGTGTGGTGGTGTTGGTTTCACTCGTGAACTTGGTGTTGAAAAGTTCTATCGTGATGCTAAGATTGGTGCTATTTACGAAGGCACCAGCAACATCCAGCTTCAAACCATTGCCAAGCTGGTCTCTTCCCAGTACAAGTAAACGCTTTCTCTGCAAACCCAAGTTGTATCTAGTACATCACCCCGCCATTAATTTTTTTGTATAGATGTGTGTATGTTGTAACAGTCTACTTCTTCCACACCCGCCTATCTTTTGTATTTCTATACCGTGTACCTTTCACACCCCCTCTGCCAATTTCACTATTACAGTACAAGAACATGATTTTTTGACTCAAAAGCAAAAAGAAAAGTAGTATATATAGCTCATATGCTAGCAACTTACTTTCGCAAGACTTCAACTTGGGACGAGATAATTGGGTGTCCTACCCATTAATCCCGCCAACAAGTGATTATTTGTAATATTGATAATACTTACAAGCACCGAAAGTGAGCAGTTTAAGAGGCTGTCAAACTGTGTATTTGTTTGATCTGGATGGTTTTGCAGATATAGCATTGGAACACACTTGAGTATGTTATAGCAGGAACTTCGAAAATTGTAGCATACAACACTATATCATATCGCCGCTGACAAAACCACCAATCTCTGGCCACGAGAATGCATTTCCTGTACGATTTCATCCATGCATGCTTGCTATTTAGTCAAGTAAGTCAATATGTATGTTACAGAGGGTCGTCATTTATACTAACTCATCGGTATTGTTGTTTGTAACCCTTGATTGAATGTAATATTCGAATGTTGTAGCTATTGCCTCGGATGATATGTATCCCTTCTTGCTTTTTTTAAGTGTACCAGTCTCAAAAGCTACGATCGCATCGAGTGTCCTGAGCGAAATTAGTTGCTAACTGTGCGAACACAGCGAGTTTCATTGAAGAGATTGAAGAGATATAAACAACCATTAGGCACAATCTTCGAGTGATATATGTATACCTTCGTGGAGGGAGGAAGATCATGTGGTTTCCACAATAGAGTTTATGTCTTTGCTACTGACTACAACTGCACTAATTTATTAGCGGCAATGTGGATGTTACAGCCAGTCGTATTAAGATGTCTGAGGCTAAATTCGCAATAGACGCTTTGTTCTGCAAAAGCGCAAGCGGGGAAAACTGACAAGTCAACTCTTACCTCTTGTTCATCATTGAACGCAACTCTATTGCTTCTCCCATAAATTACTGCTTTGCCGCAAAATAATGATGACCGACAACTGGCGAACCATTGACATTGACCAGTACGACGAAGACGCTTATACAGAAGATGAAATTCTTGCCGAATTTGAGTCTGGTATTTCTCCACAAGAAGCCGACGCATCTGCACAAACGCGAAGCACCGACGTGCGAAACTTTCTCACAAAGTAAAAAGAATTATACCACTGCCACGGAAAATGGGGAGATGGAGACTGACTCTTGGCAAAAATGAACTATTTTTTACGTTATTCTTTATATCTTCTATAGAGGCGATTTGAATAACGCTTTGCTTCGTGCACTTGAAGATCCTCCATATGGTCGTCAGCTTGCACAGGCCAAGGTAAATAAACGCAAAGCGATACTCTATGCACCGACGCTGCTTATCCTTTAGTACTTTGATTAACAAACACAAAATACTACTAGCTCACTAGCACACAAACTCTTCTGGAAGTCTTGAATTTGTTCCGTGCGGATGACATTGCATCGGTTATCAGTTCGCTAAGCATCGATCAAAAGGACCTATTGATGAAATATCTGTATGCTGGCCTCGCGAAACCTGAACTGTACAACTCGGGTGTGTTATTGACTTGGCACGAAAAGGTAACGAATCAGGGTGTGTTGGGGCTTATTGGATATGTGAACCGATAAAGAAAACAAAAATGAAGCTAATTATTATCTGATTTGATAATCTAGTTAGTAGATGTTGTCGGTACAGGTTGCATTGTTCGGGTCATGTCCGATAAGCGCACCGTATTTTAGAAAAGGCATCAAATATTAACGAATAAATATCCTCAAGAATACGCATATACAGTACATAAAGAACGAGGAAAACGGCCGGTAAAAATATAAATGGGGTCGAGAAATGGCCAAAGCGAAACTGAGGGTCATATCGATGGCTACCGTGTAAGATAACTGCCGCCACGACAGCTCCTGTTGATGTTCAACTTGTTATATTTACTTTGTGCTTTTCTGGCAATGTGTGGCTTACACATATTCACGCCTAACTACTTGTCCATATCTCAGACAAGGTCCTGCTTGGAACTTAGAAATGCATATGCGTGTGATATTCAAAATAAATGTAGCTTTTGGACCATTATTAGTAGAGTTGTGATGCCAACGTATTGTTTCGCGCTATAAATCATAACACCTACGCCTTCGCTAACGTTTATTAGTACCCTTCCATTATCTCTATTGGACGACGATGCACACAAATTGTGTCTAGACAAAAAGGTTAACTTTCTATTATTACAGCTATCCTAACTTTAATCGGAAGCCTGCCGATTCGGATTGTCCTGCAAATAACGTTCCTGCCAAACTCGTATCCTCTTCCTCGTCAAGCCCTGCATGAGCTGCTTGTGGCGCCGATGGACTATATACTTTTTTCCTGGAGAATATAATGAAATATATTGTTAATTCGATATTAAAAGGTGAGTTGTATCTAGAATGAACAAAAGGAATAGAGGGATTTTGAAAAGTATCTACTTACTTTTCACCGGAACCTTTGGATGGCCATGTGGGGAATAATGCAGGGTCTTTGGGAAGGGGACTTTCACTATTAGCAGTAACAAAGAAAGTTAATAAGTTAAAAGTTTTCTTTATGGTGATGAGTGAGAAAATGCGGATACAGCATTGGTTTACCTGAAGTATGGATGCTGCAATGCCTCGTCGGCTGTAATCCGTTTCTTTGGATCATAAGTCAAAAGGCTGGACAACAAATCCATGCCGGATTCTGTCAAATAAGGAAACTTGCTTCGTAAAGTGCTGTATCTGTAGCAAACATTAGTTAGAGAAGACGTTAGATGTGTTTGCATTTTTGATTGAAATATAGAGTCAGAGGTAAACATACGGTTGCCAGTTATCCAATGCAATGTTCTTGACATGCGGCAAATCCATAAACTCTGGCCATTGTTTTTCATTTGGCACACCAAGTAATTTAAAAATCTATTACGGAATACATGAAAATTAGTACATTTTGTATCTAATCAGAGGTGACTGTGGTAATTGTTTTACCTTGTCAACTTGATCAATCTCGCTCCGTCCTTGAATGAGTGGTTCGTTGTTGACCAATTCAGCAAAAATGCATCCAATAGACCACATATCAACGGCGGTTGTGTATTCTTTTGTTCCAAGCAATAGCTCAGGAGCTCTGTACCATAGGGTCACGACAAGCTGCGTCATGTTGCCGAGTGGACTTCCATACTTCCTTGCCAAACCAAAATCGGCGACCTTGATCTCTCCACGATTGTTCAACAGCAAATTGCTCGTCTTTAAATCTCGATGTATCATCCAGTTGTCGTGTAACAGTGCCACGGCGGACAAGAGCTGTAGCATTAGCGTTTTTACTTCGGATTGTAAAAAGGGCGTTCGCATATCTGTCATGAGTGTCTTCAAATCGTGCTCGATAAAATCCATGACAATAAATACTCTATTAATCGATCCAAATGTATTAGTAGTTTTAATTAGCAACCTCCCTCCCTTTTTTTGGATAAGAGAAAACTTACTGATCTAAGTGATTTCCCATAACAATCTCACGAACGTTGACGATATTTGGATGTTTTGCATTCATCAACGTGTATATTTCGCGCAAACTGGTCACTGGGAACCCGTTCTTTTCCTTCTCGAGCTTGAGTTTTTTGAGAGCCACGATATCTCCCGTTTCGCGATCTCGTGCGCGAAACACAATACCGTAGGATCCTTCTTCAATACGGTTTAATCGCTCATAACAGTCGACATGTCGACATTCAGCAAGGAAAGCAGGTTGTTTAAATGCAGGTGCAGCAGTCGGTTGGTACTGATGAACGACTGATTGCTTTTGTTTTTGTTGTTGTAGTTGTGACACTTGCGGTGATGGCCGAGGTGATTGCTGACGAAGATCAGATTGCTGATGTGGAGAAGATTTATGTTTGACTGTCTTCTTTATGCGTTTTTGTTGTGGTTTTTGTTCGGATTCTTCTTCGTCTGATTCCCATTTTGATTTCTTTATCGTTGACATGTCGGTTAAAAGAGACCACTAAGCTTGTCGGAGTCAATGCATACATATGCTCGAACAACACAAATTCAGCAGAATGCGTATTTCCGTGCACTTGCGCTGGCATGGAGCTCCCAGCTGTCTGCCAACGTTTTGCATATGTGATTGACGATAGTGAAGCGCAGGATCAGATAAAAGAAAGTATAAAGGTCATCGACTTAACAAACATTCCACTCGGTGGTACCAGCATGGCCATCCTTACCTTTGTCACTGACTACCTGCATCAGTGGACCGCCAAGGAGGACCTGATCAAATTAGGACTCCAACTGTTCCTCGATAACACTGTGAGTATGCTCGACAATATGTCGTCAACTTTATAAGAAAATGATTTCTCATTGTAAAGTACAGTAGGTTGAAATATGGTTAGTATTGTTAATCTGTACTGACAAACTATTGTGATGCTTCTGTTGACGTAGGAGCACCTAAATCATGAAATCGCATCTAATACAAGGAACGAAGGCATTTGTCCCGGACTTTGCTTTGTCTAACGAGACGATTGACTCGAAGACTCGTACAAGTTCATAGTCATAAAAGTGACATCTGCAACAAAAACCAAGAGTGAATCAGATTATCGTTGATAAGTTGATGTTGTCCGGATTGAGAACCCTTTTGCAGTAAGTGTACTTGTTCGCGGTAAAGCCCCTTTTCTCGGTTTTACAGTATACTGCGTACAAGCACATCAGTATGTAATATGCGTAGACAACTGATTCATTTCTTTATGTAGAGAAGAACTTTCAATTCTTCAAGATGCTTCTGACTGGACCAGACATGTATGTCATAGTTGAACTTGCAGATTCTGAATAATTTCGTTCCGCAGCTGATTTTCCATTGCTGCCATCCTTACTAGACCGATTAGTCAAATACAGCACAGAAAACCTTTAATAGCAGCGGTGAAGAACAAATACTAAATTTATCAAGACAGGTCTGCCTAGGAAGAGCGTAGGTGTAAGGACCGCGTCTCAGAAATCAACACTTTCAGTTAAAAAATGCAGACCAATTTGACAAATCACAAAATCCACATAACCCACCCCGCCAATTTCACATAATCCACATAACCCACCTAACCCACCCCGCTAATTTCCTACTAGTTAAGTGCTATTTCCTGAACATGAAGGATAATCGATCATTATTAGGAATGACAAATAGACTTGCTGCCCAAGATAACGTGGTCAGCCCCCTGATGTCCGAAAATGATGAAGTTGCAAGTTATCGCGCATACAGTGTACCTATGAGTTAGATATGACTTGTCGATTAGAAAATCGTTCGTCTTTTTCTCATAAAGGTATGCATGACCGAAAGTACTACGGAGCGTTGGTGAGTAAAATATGCAATAAATACAATAATTGATGCTGAACGATACTGGGAGTAGCACTGTGCTTGCTCTTGCTTATTCATATCTCCTGGAATGATTATGCGAGCAATGATTGCTCAAAAGTTTTGTTTAGATATACCACTCGGAAAGTCACAGCTTTATCAGAGCGCCGAACTGATCTATCGCAGCCAAGGTCACACTTTAATATAAATACACGTCCGCACCAAGTAGGGTATGCTGAAATTGCAACATGTATCAAAGGATTAAGTATTACCAGTAGCTTTCTAATAGATAATAGCTTGGAAAGCGTTTCCTCGGTCATAGTATTAACCGTAACCAAATGACTTTGGTAGAAGACCAGTAAGTATATAGGGATCACCAACCGATTCCGATGATTCAGTAGTATAACGATATCTGTCCACCAGAGGGAGAACAGTCAATACCAGAACTCAACAAAGCATAGGGGTCGAAGCAGGACATCGAAGATAATTTTTCCCACCTAGGTACAATATACAGGAGCTTGAATGATTTTTCATTATTTGAAATATGTAAGCTTTTTATATATTTTGCTTTTTTGTATAGCGAGTGTTATCATCATCACAACGCAACATGATAATGCTACATAGTAGCGATGTCGTAAAGTCAATGGCTGCCGCATAAGAATCAAATGTGTTTTTAAACGAGATCATAGCGGGATACAAGCAGCCAGCTCGAACTAATCTCAAAAGTCTCTGTGTTTCTAACAGATATTAGAAATGCTAGGTGATATAAGGCAATTAATGATTTGGATCCATATTATCACTCTGCTGCAATCAAATATGTAAATCTGCTAAAGGATTCTGGCATTGATTGTCGATCAGATTTATATCATAGAAGGCGTTGTTGTGGCCCTCAATTGTATGTAGCATTCGAGTGTTGTATCTGCTGCCTTACACGATTTTTTATGATGGCACGGAATTTATAGATACGTATGATAAAAAATGAGAGAGGTCAAATTCCTGGTATAAATTTGCGAGCAATATAACCTTTTTCTGTGAAGAGAGAAAGGTTCCTGTCGCTTTCAGAATTACGTCTAGTCTAATATTAATGCCAAGTTTGTTTTCCTTTGTGTATAGAAAGCTTACTACCGAAGGCAGGTATCCAAGAGCTATTATATATTGCACAGTAAAAAACTACTCATGAGCAATGCGATGTATTATTGCAGCTCAGTAATTAGAATGATACATCTGTTAATACCGTGGCGGCGGTAGCCACGAATAAGACAAGTTCAGATCTCTGTTTATTGTTATGGTAAACTTGATAAAAAATTATTGCCGAATACATTTATCCATAAAGGGAAGTGCAATAATAGCAAACCACAAGCGCAAAACAATGAACGTTACCTACTTCTGCACAGGATCGTTTTTCAACAATCGATTCTAATACATATTACAAAACAGAAATTTTCACAACGTAGAGGGTGCTACATATAACTAAAATCAGCCTAATATTGGAACCAGCTATTGTTGACAAAGTATAGCGGCTCAGAGGCAGCGTACATTAAGGGCACTCGACAGATGTATCATGCACATATTGTTGAATTGGAAGGGCTGATATTTTGTGTTGTAGTTTTCACTTTTATATGTGCTTGAACCTTGTTTTAATGTACACGAAAGAAAGAGGCACATATGGATTCTGGGACGTTTGTACAGATGAATCCCAAATGACGGTGCATGCGCGTGGACAAACATAACACATCTGACAGTGAAGATGGGGGTAGTTTAGGAACTTAATCTGTTTGTCCAGTGGTTTCATACCGATTTGGCACCTTTTTCAATACTATGTCAAGGCTTGTGTGCGTTTGTTTACATCATAATGATTGACGTGCCTGATAAGTAGCAGGGAGAATATTAAAACACTAAAAGGGTTTGCATTCAGACGGGCAGTGACAACGAACGGCACGCATAGGTGGTATCCACATTAAGAAAGGCTGCGGAGGTGCCAAAAGCGTTGCATAGTGTAGATCTTTGAGAGGAAGCGCCGCTACATTTTTCACTCGACTCTTTCTCACTTGCTCAAAACCCCATATTTGTCTTCTTTGTATCCAAAACTTTTTGTTTATAGAGAAAAGGTTTCTGCCGATTACCCGTTTCTCTTTTTCTTTCTTCCTTGTTATTTTCTGTTATATATCTATCTCTCGCTATCTTTGTTAAAATAAATGACGAGCACTGAGGCCGCTCACAAAGACGAATCAAATAACGCTAATAATAATAGCAGCGGAACGAATGCCGCAACGACAGTGACAACCGACGAATTGGTATCGACGGTGGGCCATGGCTCTGTTGGCTCCCAGTGGGACCTGGACAGTCTTCGTGAGCTGTACTTGCCCAAACAGATCAGCGACAGAGAAATCAATCACGAGGATGGCAGTGTTACGTACAAGAGCACACACTCGTACCCACCAGTACGAAGACTACGGCCTTCTGAACGCAAGCGGATCCTCGTGACGGGCGGCGCTGGTTTTGTTGGATCACACTTGGTTGACCGACTAATGTTGATGGGTCATGAGGTCATTGTACTCGACAACTTTTTTACGGGAACAAAGCGGAACGTGCAGCACTGGATTGGTCACCCGCACTTTGAATTGATACGACACGATGTGGTGGATCCGTTCATGATTGAGGTTTCGCAGATTTATCATTTGGCTTGTCCGGCGTCGCCGCCACATTATCAGTATAACCCAACAAAAACGGTGAAGACAAGCGTCATGGGAACGATCAATATGCTCGGTTTGGCAAAGCGTACAAAGGCTAGGTTCTTGTTAACTTCAACTTCTGGTAAGCTATTCCCTTCAATTCTTTGAATACATACCAGTCATTAGTGTATATACGGTTCGATGTACTATAATAGGCGGATCACATAAACTGACAACAACTATTTGATTTAATTTCATTAGAAATTTATGGTGATCCGGAAGAACATCCCCAGCGGGAAACGTATTGGGGCCACGTGAATCCAATTGGACCACGCGCATGCTATGATGAGGGCAAGCGAATTGCAGAAACGCTGACTTATGCGTACATGCGCCAGAATGATGTGGATGTGCGCGTTGCCCGGATATTCAAGCAAGTTTTAGACTAAACATTTTTCTATCTGTGGCCAATACCATACCAGTCCCTGTACTAACTTCATTCTGGATATTATTAACATTGCTTGTTTCCACAACTACCTATTTGGGACATAATCTAGCACATTCGGTAAGTTGTTATTCCAGGGGCGATGGATGAAAGAGACACACGGGTTTTGTAGCGTAACATATGAGAAAACGGGAGCTAAGGGATCAAATTTTCTAAATGCGGTATATTTAATATTAGGGCCACGAATGTCTCCAGCGGATGGTCGGGTCGTTAGCAACTTTATCATGCAAGCACTCAAAGGCGAGCCACTGACATTGTATGGTGATGGACAACAGACACGGTCATTCCAATATGTCCATGATCTCGTGGACGGCTTAATTTTGCTAATGAACAAAAACTACATGGAGCCGGTAAACCTTGGCAATCCAGAAGAGTATACCATCAAGGACTTTGCAGATATCATCCGGGAGCAAGTTGCGAACTCGCCCGTCGGACCTGACAACGTCAACATCAAGATCTTACCTGCAGCCATGGACGATCCAAAGAAGCGCAAGCCGGATATTAGCCGGGCACTAAAGTTTCTGGGATGGAAACCGCGATTCGCTGTACGACAAGGATTGCAAGAAACTGTGGATTGGTTCAAGTTAGAGGTGGAGGAAGGACTCATATAGCGAAATCAGGGAATGGTAGTAGCAACAACAACAACAGCCAGCAAAGGCACGTAGCATCGCATTGCACTTGCATTAAGCACAGATATACAGACACTCTCTCACCCGTATACACGCATCGCAACAAGAACATGACCATGATCATACACACCAAGAATTCCCCCCAACACAAGATTAAATGCATATTCTAGATACCACTAACACAACATCCAATAACTACTTTGCAATAACCCCGCTTTCCCTAATTACATTACTGTCTTTGTTCTTTGAAAATGATATTACAAAGAGGAAAACATAATGAGGCAGATTTATTCGTTTTCGACGAGCTTGCCAACCAACAAGTACTTTGCTGCGAAATGCTGTTCCCACTCGCGCAAAGATTCCCACTCATCTGGTGCCAAGTCCTCAAGCTTGTCGATAGGCAAAGAAGGGTCTGTGATCATCTCCGCATCAAACGAGTTCTTGGCCAATCCTCGCGACGCATCGTGTCCAGCAAAGTTGGCATATGGTCCACCTATCAACCATCGAAAATTCATGCAAAATATAACAAATTAATATCATCTTACTTCTACTACTACCAGCACATTCGTATGTTTGCTCACCAGGTCCATAAAAGTTGCGGCCGCGAGTAACGTCATAGACACTGCCATTAACACCCATTAATACACGGCCGTCGTCACCAGTACCATCGAAAGGCAACAGGCTCTTGGGTGTGTAGTTTTTGAAAACAATAACGTCGGGATGTTTGGCAGCAATGACGCTGGGTTTGCTTGATTGCGCGTACGATCGAATGACATATGCTAGCACCTGTAGTGATGATAATTATATTGTTCCCCCATACCACAAAGAATTAAAGGTTACATTTTTCAAAAACTCAAGGTCGAGATAAAAGAAGAAGAAAAAAAAAGAAAACTCACTGCTGCCAAAGCCCAGTTGACCGGGTTTTCTAAGTAGAACAAAAACAAAGCAATCAGTATTCGTCGACCTACAAGAAAAAACGCAAAGAGGAAAAGAAAGAAATTCACCAACCTTTGAATTGTGAGAAGACTGTTTGAAACGTAGTAGCCATGTCTGTCCTAAATGAATGATGGGGGGGGGGATGATAAAAGTTATGAAGAAGAGTGAGCACAAGAAATGGAATAAGGAGAAGTGGGAGAGAAAAAAGATGCAACAAAACGAATTGTGGCGTTAGTGGCATGTGCACCTACTTGTTCATGATTTCGTTGTTCCCAAAAAAAAAAATTAGAGAAGGCTCTCTCTTTTAGTCAGTTTGCTTTGGGGCAAAAGGAAACAGAAGAGAAATGCGTGCTTGAAATTCGATAGTTTGTGTTACCCCAATCTAATAATGCGCGTGCCGTGAGGTTCGACCAGCTGACCCGATTTTTTTGCGCAATTGCTACTATGTAGTTTTAAACGTAAAATACTTTGCTCTTCCTTAATCAATAGTCGTAGTAAAGGTGCTACTATCAAACTCACTAGTATATAGACGTTGTGGTAAAAACTGTTTTACAGGTACCGCTTCGACAGTTATTGAATTTGGAAAATTGCTGTTACATCAATCAATCACCATGTCAACATAAAAGTGACTTTTTCTCTTGTTCTTTCTATAGTTACCGGTATAACAGTTAAACTCGATAATGTTTGATGACAGCCTAAAAGCATTCTCAGATTCTACTGTTTGATACCGAGATAAGCTAACGAGTTTTTTCGTCCAGTAGAAACTGGCGATTTATCAAAGTAGTACTATGCACCTGAAAGCACACTGTTGTACTTATATTGAAGGATTAATTCCCCGTCTAGGTCCAATAATTTACTACAACTTACTTATAGAGCAATCTCAACCCGTCAGTGTCTCGCTTTCACTCAATATACCGAGCACATGGTCCGAGGATGATAGGGACTTTGCCAGTGTCCGTTCGAGCATTACGAAGCACGACCTATATATCACTACTATCTTCAAAAGGCCGCGATCACGAATATTTATTGTTCACATGACCATACAGCGATGATAGTTTAGAGTGCGTCGTTGACGTTTGGCTGTTAAACTTTAATGTAACATCGCGATGTGCTTTATCAAAAAGCTGATTGTGACAGCAACGATATGTTTTTTGTTGCTTTTTTGGATACATGGATTGGATAGCAAAGTATGTATATCCATGGAAGCAGAAACTCATTAGTATCTGCTCCATGTGGATGTATGCCTCTTTCTCAGTGCTGCTCTAGCCACAGTAAGCCTACTATTTACTATGTACTAAACATCACTGACAAATGTTTCTATGTATTTCATACATACTCACAATTGCTTTTTGATTTATTGCAAAATGTCAACCAATGAAAAACTCTTCCTTCTGATTTACCAACTTTTTCTTTTACTTGAATCTTCCCCTCACTCATACCCTGCTTATACCAGAACCTCACACTACAATCGTCATGGATTTAACATTGTCTTAGAGCCTCACCGACTTTGAAATCAATAAGGACCGTGGCTATATAGGCTCGCCAGCAGTTTCTATTTGGACACATTTTTATTCCCAAAAGCAACCTTCAAGTAATTGAACATCATCTTCATAGCATACTGCCGAGCTTTCTTCAAGGCTTTTTGGCCTGCTGCATTATTAAGCGGTTGCAGGAACGTCAATGCAAAATATAGGTTGTTCATTGAATGGGACCAAAGCTTGACACATTTTTCATTACCATCGATACTCTATTTGCTCCTAAGAAACAAAGCACAGCAACAGTTCTCACGAATATTATGTTCATGATACCCTTTTTAAAATATCGCGGTGTCTTCCTCTGTGTCCCATGTCTTACTATCTTCTGCGATACAGAGCGACAAGAGGAGGAGGAGGATTCTAAATACAGTACTCGGCATCTTCACGGGTCTGTCTGGCTTCTGTAACCGTCAAGAAAGAACTGTCAAGAGTGCGGCAATTGATTGACAAGAGACTAAGCCCGTTGGGGATCAAAATTGATGGTGTTTGCGATCTCACCCTCTTCACGCAGTAATAAGCGTAAAGCAAATGGGCTCCACCGAAATCGTGCGTTTGTAGTGGGAGGTACGTATAGAAGTTCTTTGGATATGTGATAAGGGAAGGAGAAAAAAAAGGGAGGAAAAAGAGGGCGACTGTCTGAGCCAAACGGTTGTTTGCTGATATGTTTACTTTTTGAGATCTCTTATGAATTTCTATTCAGGACCGAAACAAATTGTTAACCATGTTCACGACATTAACTAAAGAAGAAACGGCAGAAGATAGTAGTGCCACAGCAAGTCATGGCTTATTGTTGAAAACGCTTTGACCACGGTCAAAGCCATTAAAGTCGGTCATACATTTTATCTTGGCACAAAATATTCGAATACACTTGGTTGTGGCTTTTTGCCTATTAGCACCCATGATCGGCATAAACAACTTCAACAACAAAAGCAACCTGCCGAAATGGAATGCTATGGTATCGGTATCTCACATATGGTGGCGACTGCAGCAGAAGTATGTCACGATGCTCGAGGCATTGTTTGGCCGGAAGCATCGCGCCTTATCGCGTCTGCATCGTACCTACCAGTAACAATAATCAAGACCTATTAAATCTGGCGGAAACAATCTATGACTCACTCGAAGATACCGCGTTCAAAGTCAAGGGCCGTGGTTCAAGTGTGTTTTATAACGACGTGGTGATTGATGATCGCAAACAGATGTTTGGTGCCAAAATGGCAGATGCTGAACTTATCGGGTATCCGTTTATTGTCGTGCTGGGCAAGAACGCGCTCCAGACGCGAACAGTCGAGGTCAATCAACGCTTACAAGGTAAAGCTAATGTTAAGAGCAAGATTCCTGTTGAAGAGCTGGGACGATGGTTGTTTGAACGCCAAGTTATTTAAATATGACTATGTACAATATATATAGCCTAGCCCTACTTATTATAATCTTACTATAGAACCATTATACGCGACAAAAGCCACATTTTGTATCAGAAGAGCATTGATCCCCCCTCAATCTAGCCCTTTCCCCAAGCTCAAATAGTTGACAGGGTCAGAAGCATGTCACATAGTAATGATAATAATAAAGCAAGTTGCATCTTTCTGATCGACAAACAAACACGCGCGTGCAGAGAGAAAGGGGAATAGAGGCGGGACTACAATAGTTGAGCTCGACCCTTTTCGGTGGAATCTTATTTTGCACATGACAGACATTTTGCTTGTTTGGACATACTTCCTGGGCCGATCTTGTTGCTTTTGTTGTTGAAGTTGTGTATTCACTCAATATAAACTCGACATGCGTGAATATTAAGAGACATCATCATCGCTACTATCTTGTACCACACCTCTTCCGCATGTTGTCTCTCTCTTTCCTTGATGTTTTCTATCCTCTGCCCACATCACAAACACTGCCAACTTGTTGGAAAAGGTCTCACTAGACAGGGAGTCTTCTCTCTTTCTTCGTTCCTGTTTCACCTAAAGCAAAGTGATCAGTTTTTCTTCGACTAAGCTGTGAAGAGTAACAATCAACACAAGAGGGACAGAACAAACGCATAAAGTCAAAGGAAAGGTCAAAATGAAGCAAAAAGCGCAAAAAAAAAGTGACGAAATCCAAAAAAGAGAAAAAGGATTTGAGCGGTCTCCTCTTTCTTTTTTTATCCAACTTGCTCCTCTTCTTCCCTTTCCACACCATTTCTTCCTTTTTCTCTGCACTTTGAGGTAAGATATCAACGTTTTCTTAAAGCACACTACAGCTAGTACAGCACAGACCTCGTCCTTAAGCAGCCCTCCTATTGCTCCCTCTCTGACTATTACGTTGTCTGACTCTGCTGCGCACTGAACACACATTTACTCACTCACTCACTCACTACTTTTTGTTTTTCTACCGTACTTGAACGCCCTTTTCTTCTTAGGAAACCAGATGATGATGGAAGAAACAAGGAACAAGATATAGGAAGGAAACAAGATAACTTGCTCCTCTTCTTCCCTTTCCACACCAATTCTTCCTTTTTCTTTGCACTTTGAGGTAAGATATCAACGCCTTCTTAAAGCACTACAGCTAGTACAGCACAGACTTCATCCTCAAGCAGCCCTCCTACTGCTCCCTCTCTGGGGTCGACGCACTCCTTGCGCCCAATCGAACTTTTTTTGAGACATTAGAAACTGCAGGTACACAATTAAAAGCATTGGAGATGGGCCGTGTACAAGAGCTATTGCTCCCTGGTGGTAGCGCGCATTATCTTCGGTACAACAAGGAAACATATGACGCAATGTTACAGGCGGTTGGTGACTAATATGTTGTCTGCCTCTGCTGCGCACTGAGCACGCATACTCACTCACTCTCTCACTTCTTTTCGTTTTTTCTACCGTACTGGAACGTCTTTTTCTTCTTAGGAGACCAGATGATGGGGGAACAAGATATAGGAAGGAACCAAGATGAAAGGAGCAAATGCATTTCTATCTTATTCGCATATCAAACACAGCAAGAACGCACACGCATGCATCATTACATTTCAAGTATATAGAGAAAAAGAAAAGAAAAACATGACGAAATAATTAGATTGTACACCTCCATAGCATCCCCTGTCTTCCTTTCATCATATTTGCATCATTCAACCTTTTATATCTCTGCCATAACATCACGCCATGCACATTAAGCTCAAGCTTTTGCATATCATCTTTGGTGTTTATTAGTAGGCTAGCGACACCCCACCATTGTTTGCATACCCACCCAAAAAACCCATACTTTTAGGAGAAATAAGAAAGACAGTTCCACCTTTGCGAATACAATTCGAAGCGGTATTAAATAGCATTTAGTTGGATTTGGAGCTCCATGTATACAGTAACAGGTATATCCAGCTGGCTTAGAGCTTTCTTTCTAAAGGGCAAATGATACAACGTCAAATAGAATTTCGGAATACATGAGCGATAGAAGTAGAGCGTCGCACTTAATGACGGACTGATGGCACGCTTTGAGAATCAGTCACAGTTCTTTGACGTATATGTCAATTAAGCAGTGTATGTAATCGAGTAAACAGAAAAAAAAAACTATACCTACATTCTAACATGTGTGTCCCCATTGTATCATTAACTAATCCACTCGATCCCAGTCTATATCTTCGGTGCCACACACTATATGAAGAAAAGAGCTACTGTACGTGCAAACAAAAGAAACACCCTTTTACTTTAAATAGAAAGAAAGAGATGGGATTCAACCATTGTTCATGCAGTGTGGCAGCGTAAAAATAAGCTTATATGAAGGCAAGGTTGGCTGTAACATTTAGGGGGGCTTACATAGCCTTTTGGGTGGCCAAAACGTGAATTCATGAGACGGTCTTGACATATAATTTTTGAGAGTGATAGCTGCAGTGGGTGCGGTAGTCATGATTAGAAAAGAATGGAATCGCTTCGAACACCAGGGAAAAAAGACAGGTCACTTTGCCCGATTTCTGTTTTTCTTAAATGGATAGTTTTAACGTTGAGTGTAACAACGTTGGCCTGTGCCTATACAGCACGCATGCCAAAGGTTTGAAATAGTCCAAGTCAGGGGGGTTGTCGAAGATTATATTAAACTGTTAGCTTCCGAAATATAGATGAACAAGCCCACAACCGACAACTACGTCATGATGATGGTGTATTCTCACCGTACCTAATATATCTATCTTGCAGTAGCCACGTCATTTTGTTCCTGGATAAAAAACGCAAAAGCGCATGCTTCTGTCAACTGATATTTTGTACAAATTGAAGCTGTTTTTCACCCCCATAACGTGCAAGTCGTATACAACTTATTTGCAAGCTACAAATGTGCGAGACCATTACGTTTCTTTTTTGATATTCTTAAAGAGATTGCTGATATACGAGGAATTGCGAAATTAGGGATTGTGTATGTTTATATACATATATTTTATGTCATATTGTTCAACGGATATTAACTACACTGTTGCATAAACCATTACCTTTATTTATCAAGCTGCTGTACAGTATACGATGCTCTTTTGTATGGTAAAATGGTTAATTGGTACTAGCCATGATAACATACATAGGAGTTCTACTGTGATTGCGACAGCAGCTGTTGATTGGTGCGATCAATTGTATTAAACTGCTCACATTTGTGTGATAATACCCAAGCAAGCATGTTCAAGCAATTCTTGACCACTCTTCTTAAAGAGTCCAGTCTAGGTACATACAGGAGAGCAAGGAGGTATATTAAAACTTTTAGCTATACTAAAGAAGATGAAATGCTCTTTTGCTGACCCTTGAAAATTCCACAGCAGCAGCCTCTGTTCTTGAACTTCACACAGAGGGATAACCTAGCAACAGCTCTTTTATAGAACTGATGAACTCTATGAGTCAAAGAAAGCTACAAGATAACTAACACTAAGAGAGACCATAAAATTGGATAAATTAATATACCACTCTTCACTTGACCTCCAGTAAATAAGTCATGGGTACAGCTGGCCCTCCTCGCAAATGCTGTGGATGTGCCACGCTTTATTAAATACAGTATAATACTTTAGCCTCGGTCAAAGACGTTCGGATAACTCTGCATTAGTATTGTCACGACTTTCGACATTGTCAGGTGTGATGTCGGTTGCTCGAACACATATTGGGAGATCATCCTACACTGTTTAGCTAAAATTTGACAAGTGTGTTCGACCCAATGATCGCGTTCCCTAACACTAGGTCACCCCACAGTCAGCCGTAATTGTTGAGCACAGAAAATGCTCCAAAAGCAGCCATCAATGTCATTTTGAACCATGGCGTGAAGCAATAGCATCACTCTTTGCTTTCCCCCCACGTCATGTTTGCTGTTTTGTGTTTTTAAGCTTTACGTACGATTGAACCAACGAAAAAGATTTTGGAAATCCACAAAAGATCTTGGAAATCCACATATGTTCGAGTGACGCGCTAAAAAGAGACCTCTCTATACTTTAGATATCACCAGATATTTTATAATTAATCTATCATGTATTGTGAGATATGGCGACGCGATGTGGCGTAGTACATAGCCACGGCTGTACGTTATAGAGTGGCCAAAGAAGACACGTATCCTCCTTATTGTTTAGAAAGAGTGCTACTGGTTTTTGCTAGTGCTGCTGCTTCTATTTCCACAAACGATGGCTCATTATGACCTTGATGATGGTTCACAGTGCGTTCCGACTCGTTTGAGTTATGAAACGCCTGCGAGCAAGACCGAATAGACTTTTGTTACATTATTTGAAGAATTGCAAAATTCTTGTGTGGTCCGCTATAGTCCTGTGTCAATAATTAGCCGGATTTGCATATATATATCTATTAGAGTAAAGCTATTCTGTGGGATGCTTTGTATTAACGTAAATGAAAATGTACAGTGATTTATAGAGATTATGCACGTAACATTGGGTGTGCTGTCGTGGAAATGAGATAACATATGCAACAGACAGAGGTTACACCGCGCTCGCCTGCTTTCGGGGAGACGTCACTTTGCCCCCAGTTCAACCTCCGGCAGGTAGTCCTCCCAAAAACAATTCAAAGTAGTGGGAAAACTGCAACAGCGGCCCATTCATACTACACACACACACACACACACACAAACGTAAGTTTTTTCTTTCTTTTAATTACTGCTTGAACAATAAAACATGGCAAATGAATTAATCAAGTTAAAAATTTTAAATATCTTATTGACTACTGGCTTTACTCATTCATCGAATTTCAACGGCATCGTTTATATACCAACAACAACAACAACGACGACCAATCTATCATATTTATTATTCGACATTGTGGGGACATTTTACGTATATACAAAAACACGCGTTTTATTATTCCTCGCTTTCTGGCTATAACCCGATAAATCGCTCCATTGGTTCGTTCACTTGGGATTATATAAATATAGCATGCCTGTGAAGGAGATCCAAACACCTTATCCCGTCATTGACACTGATCCTAGCTTTGGCCGTGTCGTTCGTAACTTCCGAACAACCGACTACGCTGCATGGGCTGCTGGCACTGCCGTTGCACCGGCTGCCGTTGTTGGCATGGGTAAGAAAAAAGAATCAAACGGACAGCAACAACGAGATATATGCAAACGCGCACACGCGAACAATACAACCAAAAACACCAATCCCAAAACTTATCTATATGGGCTTTATTTATAGAAAAATTCAACCCTGCCGCCATTGGACGTAGTCTCCGTATTCCTATCCGTATCAGCGCTTTGATCGGTTCGTTTGGTGGTTTCTTGTACGCATACCAGAACAGCAGTCGTACGTACATCCACTTTATTGGTTTTTTTCAGATATTAGATATCACACAAGAAAAAAGTCAAAGGGGATATGGACTAAGCATTACAAAACACGATTCATTTTGGGGGGGTGGTGGGAGAATAGTTCGTTTCTGGGGCTGGAAGGAAAATGCTGCTGAGGTAGCAAAGGATCACGAAGAATTGAGCCAATTGGCTAAGGAAGGCAAGGCCCTGTATGGTGAAAGCAACATGCCCGCACACGTCCAAGCTGCTTCTGCTCAGAACTCGAGATTCGCTCAGCTCAAGTTCAGTAAGTTATTTTTCATGGTGTGTCCCCACCCCCCCCCCCCCATTTCATGCTATCAATAACACATGGTGTCTTGTAGGTCTTATTCCTTGGTTCAACCTTGCCAGCCACAACAACCACGGTGTCGATACTTCGAAATACAGCTCTTAGATTGTTTTTATAGTTTTATAAAAAAAAAATATCATTCACACAAATTTTCTACCAAAAAAAGAAACACTGCACTTGTCTTTCCTCTTTCTTGAGTGGTGTGTGTTTTTCTTTTCTTTTTTTTTTGCTTTGGGGTTGTCGATGTGTATGAGTGATCCCGTATGGGATACTCAAGTCATGATTTATAAAAGTCGTAAAATCCCAGCCACACCCACCCTCCTCCAGGACGGTTTTTCGCAATTTCATGCTGTGGTGATTTCTCGATTGGAAAAAAAAAAAGACCGATTTTTCCTATCTGTCAGTGTGAACCCTATCATTACCCGATTATGCCTGCACCTGCTCCTGTAAACGAATCAATAACCACCACCACTGCTGCTGCTGCTGTTTGGCAACAAGCAGTTCCCGATCAATTTCAAGACACTATGAGTGAAAAAGAAGAACAAGACGACGACGATTTTGACGATTACGACGATTATCTTGATGACGAACTCAATGACACTGACTTGTGGGATAATGCTACTGGAGGTACTATTTTATTTTTTTCTGGTGAGGAGGGGGGGGAAAGTGATTTTTATAAGTATATATACTTAATACCTCTTTGGGCCAATGGAAAACTAGATTTTACAAAACAATACAATCGTTTACGACAGCAGGTCAACACAAACAACAATCAACCATCTGCCAAAGTGGTAGTACCTGCCAGTAACTTAAAACGCCCGATACCAGCCAACTCGAAAGCAGCTACTTCTACCACTACTACTGCAACCGATGAAAATGATGGCCGAGCCGTAGCAGATAAACGGCGTGACCTGGATACGCAAATCGAACGCTTGGGTCATTTTGCAAGCCGTATTCAAGTATCGGACTATACACCCGGTGCTGTCGCTGTGGGAGGTGGTAGCAGAAAGGCTAACGGTGAAAGGTGAGAAAGAGAAAGAGAGAGAGAGAGAGAGAGAGAGAGAGAGTGGTGTGGTAGAAACTAAACAACTAGCATGGGAATACATACAGAACGATTCAAAAGGACAAGGCAGACAGAGCCACGGTGGAGCAAGTATTAGATCCACGTACCCGCATCATTCTCTTCAAGATGCTCAACAAGGGCATCTTTTACGAAATCAACGGCTGTGTGAGTACGGGTAAAGAAGCCAACGTGTACCACGCGACGACCGAAGACGGAGTGCATCGTGCGATCAAAGTATACAAAACATCGATCCTGACGTTCAAAGACCGTGATCGGTACGTGACGGGCGAATACCGTTTCCGACACGGGTACAGCAAATCGAACCCGCGCAAAATGGTCAAGGTGTGGGCGGAAAAAGAGATGCGCAATCTGCGACGCTTGAAGCAGGCAGGCATTCCATCGCCCGAGGCATTGGTCCTGCGCATGCATGTTCTGGTCATGGAATTCTTGGGCGACAAGAATGGATGGGCCTATCCAAGACTCAAAGATGCTCAGATCGATGCATCGCGCTATCCTGCTCTGTACTACCAGCTGATCAAGAATGTCAGAACCATGTATCAGGTCTGCAAGCTGGTTCATGCTGATTTGAGCGAATACAACATTCTGTAAGTTGGACTGCTTGTCGTCGATGCACATGGAAGAAAAGAAACGGGTTGATACTGACCCCCCCCTCTCTCTCTCTCTCTATTCGCCCGTTAGATACCATTCACGGACACTTTACATTATTGACGTATCACAGTCCGTTGAACACGATCATCCGCATGCATCCGAATTCTTACGGAAGGATTTGGCGAACGTGTCGGACTACTTTGGCAAAAAGGGCGTCCGGGTCATGAGTCTGATGGACTTGTTTGCTTTTGTGGTCGATGCATCGTTTGGCAATGATGACCAAGTGGTGGATCGTAAACTGGAAGAGGTAAAGCTTTCTTTTTTCTTGCAAGTCAGTCGCTGCTCTTGTGTGTTTACATGCCCATGTATCTTTATGCGTAAACACACAAACATGAGACAGGCTAGCAACAACAACAACAAAGAGGCACATTCTTGTTTTCGCTAACGATTGTATTTCCAGATTCAAGCTAAAATGGATGCAGAGCCGGAGAAAGAACGCAACAAGGTGGAAGAAGATATTTTCATGAAGTCTTATATACCACAGAGTTTGGAAGAAGTTGTGGATGCTGAACGAGATACCTTGCGTATTGCAGAAGGCAAGGGTAAAAATGTGAGTAGAAAGTTGGTTCTGGTCTTCTTTTTATTGTGATGATTGACTTTCAGAGCAATTTCCCCGTCATGTATAGCTTGTATACGCCAACTTGCTCGGTGATTCAAATTTCCAACAAGCAGCAACCAAGGTGGACGATGATGCAAGTAATGTGGAATCTACTCAGAGCAAGATTGCAGATCTGCGGATAGAGAGTGACACCACGGATGATGATGGTGATGATGATGATGATGATATCAGTGATGAGGATGAGGACGAGGAAGAAGAGAGCGATTCAGAAGACAAGCGAGGCGCTCCACGTGGAAAACGGTATGAAGACAAGGATGTGAAGAAGGAACGCAAGCAAAAGGCCAAAGAGGAAGCACGAGAGAAGCGGAAACAAAAGCTTCCCAAGGCTGAAAAGAAGCGCAAGATCAAGAACTCGAAGCGACGCGCTAAATAATAATAAAGAATAATAATTCATAATAGTGACAATAGACTACGTGATATAGTGTGCATCGTGTTATTGATGATGTGGAGTTTACGATGATGATTTTGGCACACCAGCCATGAATGGGTTATTCTCTACAGTTTCTTGGTCTTCTTCTTCTTCTTCTTCAAAGACACCCCATATGCTTGGCTCGTAGTTTGCAATCAGATCTTTTTCCTTGTGATACCGCGCATGCCACCCGTCAAATCCACCTCGCATGACAACCACCTGTATTATTTGTCTTTGAGTGCATATGCCATTTGTGTCTATATGTGCATATGCAAGCCATTGAAACAGAATAATGTGTTTTATATATACCTTCTGGTCACCCTTTTCGCCCGTGAGGTGACGCATCTCATTGTATATGCGCGCTGCCTTGGGTCCGCGTTGCTGTGACAAGGCACAGTGAAACACGACCAGCGGCACTTGCTTGTACTTTTCAATCAGTGCATTGCCACGATCTACCAATTGATTGGCGGGTACATTGATGGCGCCAGGAATATTACCACCCTGTATAATGAATCCCTCTCAGGTATTTAGTATAAAGTGTTGTTTGGTTGTTGCAGGGACAAAAGGGGAAGGGGGGGTGGGGAAATACATTACGTGAAAGTCATTGTCCCTGACATCAACGACGAGATAATCTTTTCCTGGCACTTTTGATGGGTCACGGACACAATGGACAACCTCTTCGCTTTCAATAAAAGGTGCGCTGTATGACATAGTGTGAGTTTGAGAACGGACTAAAAAGTGGGATATAGGGTATATGCACTACACAGAGATGATGTGTTACAACAAACAGGCAAAGCAAAGCAGCAGGTTCAAAACACCGTTTTGTACGCAGGGAGCAAGCGTGGAACTCCGCCCCCGTTTACTTTGATCTGCCACACATGTGAGAGTGTGAGAGAGAGAGTACGGTCTTTTTGTTATAGACACGGAGAGGAAAAGGAAGGGGGGGGCGGTCTCTCTCTCTCCCCGTCTCTTTATAATGCGGAGACGTAAGATTGTAAATATGGAGAAAGGGAGGGTAGGGTAGGGTAGGGTAGGGTCGAACACCCGCGCAAAAATAATAAAACGCAGGGCCAGTGAAGCAGCTCGTCTTATAAAGGACCACTTCCCCCCCCCCCCAACCCCAGGCACACCCCCTGAGTGTAACGACACGATGCCCCAGATTGGAAAAACTGAGCACGGCACCCGATTTGGGAATGAAAAAAAGAGAGAGAGAGAGAGAGAGATTCTTATTTCTTGGCGGCTGTTCATCACGATCGAATGCGGTCATTGGCTGGGGGGGGAGGGGGAGGAGAGAGAGTAGCTTAGCTCCATTAGCTCTGTGTTCGAAAATGAAATATAAAAGAAAAAAAAAACTATTTAGCTCATTTTTTTTTATAAAGAAGGAATACTCTTCTCTCTCTCTCTCTCTCTCTTCTCCCAACTCTTTCGCTCCTCTGTTCTGTTGTGTGCACGCGTGTATTGCCAACAACTACTTGAACCCTAAAAGAACTCTTTCTCTCTCTCTCTCTCTCTTTCTCCGCCCTCTTTCCGTCCACCACCAACCACCTCTCCAGCAACACACACACACACACACACAACCAAACAAACGAGATGACGCTTCTCAGTTACCCGTTCGAACTGGTTGCGCCCATGGCCGCCATCAGCTCCATCTTGCTACTACTCCTGGGCCCGTTGCTGATACCCCGCTTCTACCTCGTCTTCCTCTTGCTCTACTTTATCTTCTTTTTATACTCCCAGATCAACCACGTCTTCAAGTTCTGGATCACCTCGTCCTTGATGATGAAGAAAATCAGCAACTGGAACCAAACACAACGGATCAGCAGCATCGATAGCAATGATAATAGCACCGTCAACAACAGCAGCAGCGGCAGCAACACCATGAACGGAGGAACCATATCGTCTGGCCCTGCATCGCCCTCGCCCACGCCCACGCGCGAACGCTACAGCAGCAGTGTGGTGGACGACGCTCGGCTCGACGAGATGGAAGCCTCGCTCAAGCTGTATGAAGAGTCACACCTTATTCACGCCTTCATTGTGCCCAACTATGCTGAGCCTGAGGGATTATTGCGGGACACGATCAAGCGCTTAGCCAACCACAGGTAAACTTATTTTTAGATAATGACTCCACGTCCCACCACACCCGAACCCTCTCTCTCTCTCTCTCTCTCTTTCGAATCCACACCCATCGAAAAAACCAACAGGGAGGGTGGAGAATGATTCAAACAAAAAAAGGGAAAACTGATCGGATTTGCCAAAATTAGGAACGCGCAAACAAACTATGTCATCATCCTTGCCATGGAAGCCTCCGAACTAGGCCATGGTGCCAAGGCCGAAAGCCTGGCGGAGTATTTCAAGGACAGTTTCTTGCACTTTATTACGACGGTCCACCCAGCAGACATCCCGGGCGAGTCGCGCGGCAAGGGTTCCAACGTGTCCTATGCTGCCCGTGTTGGCTGCTCTGAAATGATCCGACGGGGCGTCGACCGACGACGCGTGATCCTCACCATCTCTGACTCCGATTCATCGATCCCGGAGCTCTACGTCCACGAGGTATGTTTGGAACAAGAAGTTTAAAAAGTTGCATACGATGGTCTAACAACAAAGGGGGTTATATATATTAGTTGGAAAAGAGCTTCAATCAGGCCGACGATCCATACTTTTTACTGTATGCACCACCCATCTTCTTCTCACGCAACTGCTTTGATGTGCCTGCGGCGGTGCGGATGACTGACATTACGTGGTCGGCGATGGTGATGGCCAACCTGAGCAACAGTCGTGGCATCGCATTCCCCTGCTCGACGTACAGCTTGAGCATGGTGCTTGCCGAACGCGTTGGGTTCTGGGACACGGACTCAGACTCTGTGGGCGAGGACATGCACATGATGCTCAAGTGCTTCTTCAAGACGGACGGCATGGCGCGCTGCCAACCGATCTTTGTGCCCATCAACCTGACGAACGTGCAGACGAACGGGTACATGTCCAACATGTATGCACGCTTTGTGCAGGCCAAGCGGCACTACAATGGCATTGCGGACGTGTCGTACACGCTGCGCAACGCCTTTGGACTGCGTGCGGACGGCGGGAGCGGTGCGACGACGGGCGAGCTGATGATGCTTGCAGCAGCCACCACCAAGAGTAAGAAAAGCAGCATGTATGCATCGCCGACCTTCTGGATCGACAAGTTGATTATTTGCATCAAGGTGCTCGAGGCGCACATGATCCCAGTCACCTCGGGCTGGCTGATGTTTGCAGCCGTGCCGCTGATGCAGTTTGTGCTGTTCCCACCGCATCCGATGGTCGCCGTCGTCGACCCCGCCGACAATCCTATCCTCACCTCTGACTTTTACGCGACCCTGTGGAACATTGTGAAAATCATCACCGTCTTCTTGCCCTTCCCGCTCTTTGGCACCTTGGCCATCTACGAGTACCTCCACCGCTTCGTCGATCGCGAGCTCTACCGCAAGCAAAAGTCCGAGTCCCGCTCCTGGCGCAACTGCTTCGACTACATCTCGTTGCCCATCGCCGCATGGCTCTTCATGACCATCCCCTCGACCATTGCCGCTCTCAAGCGCCTCTACAAGACAAACGACCAGTACATTGTGGCCGAAAAGTTCTTTGACGAGGAACGCGCTTAACCCAAGGTTCTTCCCTCTTACTTCTTGCCCCCCCCTGCTTAGATATATATATACACATTATACCTTTAATAATCCCACCTTTTGGCGAAAGAAGGGGGTTGGGGTTTAGGGCAGGAGGAGGGACCTTTTGCTTACATACATCATCCACGTAAATTTCCTTCTGTATCTTTCTTTTCTTCATAACGCACGCATGTGTAGTGTACTACTCTTCCCCCCCCTTCCATCTCTCACATGTGCTACTACTAACTACCACCACCACCACTACTACTACTACTACTACTATTAATACCACTATTACTCTGAGGCTTTTTTGATTTCTTTTTCCATCTAATCGTTTCTGCATCTCTCTCTTAACTCTTTTGTATCTTTCCTCACATTCAGAAAAAGCGCATCTGTTTGCGCGTAAACCCCCTTAAACTCCCCCTTCACAAACACACACACACACACACACACATACACATACACATTCATAGTATATCAGCTGTTCTCTAATGTATATCAAATCAAATCCTAATAACAACAACAACAAAGTATCGTCTGGTTATCAAAACTTATGCATGCGCTACTTACTCTCTGTTGCTGTTGTCGGCTTTCTCTTTTTATATTTATTTGTGTCACCTCAACCAGGCAAGCTAAAACTATTTAGTTGCTCAATGTTTCTTTTTTTTTTTTTACATGCGGCCTGATGCGACTACTTGATTAGACATTTTGCTTCCGTTCACGTGTGTCCCTTTGTTTAAAAGAAGCTCCGTTTTAGATATGTGACATTACAAACAACAACAACAACATGACGCATTTGGGTTGTTTATTTGCACGCACACATTGACAGACAATCCTATTCGATGATTGCCATGGTTACACATAACCGAATAAAAACTTTTTTTTTGGAGTAACCAACTCACTCACACACACACACACACACAGAGTGGCAGATCAGTTTGAAAAAAAAAAAAAAAGGTTGGGGTTGTAATTCATTTTGTATCTATGTTATCTTGTACTTGGAATGGCTCGGGCTCCAATCACCCCCCAGATTTCCCTCTTTCAGTGTGTAAAAGCCGTTTCTTTGGATTGATGTTCCAGAAAAGCGGGTATTCATTTCAAAAAAAAAAAAAATCGCCGCTGAGAAACCAACAGCGATAATTTGACCCTTTCTTCTTGTGTAAATGCACATACAAAACATGTGCACTTGACAGCAGTAACCAGCCCAAAGCCCGGGCTACAAAAATCACAATGAATGCCCTTCTATGTCCAATAACGGCAAAATAAATTAGAACAACTGTTTTAGCGAGCGGTACACAAGACAACCCCTCTTTGAATGACATGGGTGGGCGGGCAGTCATCAGCAAGCGAGTTTTAGAGTTTATACTTTAACAAAACGTCCGAGCGAAACTTGTATCAGGAAAACTCTATGCAAGCATGAAAAAAAAAAAGTTGACTGTGCGCGTAAAGTTGCTGGGGGTAGTGTTGCCTGGCTTCCTCTCTCTCATTTTGCTATTGTTGTCGGACCAGGAAGATTCATCCGGTTCCTTGAAATCGATGTTCCAGAAAAGCGGGTTGTTCTTGACATTTACTCAAGGGGGGGGGGTTGCTCAAGTGTGTGGAAGAAAGCTTGGCGTTTTGTTCCACCCAAAGTCGTACGATTTGGAAAGCCACACAACGTAATCATTGAACTTTTTTTGCACAAATTGTTATATACAAGTATTACAAGTAAATGTGTAAACAAAAAGGCACACAGAAGGAAAACAGCCTTGGCGTTTTATTAGGTAATAAGGCGCAAAGCCTCGCTCTTTCTCTTGTTTTGGAAAGAACCCGATACATAGAACCACATGCAGCCGTTTGTTCTTGTGAGTACACATACATGAACCAAGGCATTATAATTTGGTCCACAACAGTCAATGTCATGACACCTCTCTCTCCCTCTCTCATATATCAACAATGACGTCTTGTTATCCAAAGCATGATGAAGCTCAGGCTCTGTTGTGTATGTGTGTGTGTGGTGCAGTTGTACAACTTGACTATAGTTTTTTTTTTTTTTGCGCATATAGACTAAAACACCGGAACTTTCCAATGTGCTACGTATTACAGAGAACTTTTCTCTCTCGCTCTCTCTTTGTAATTCGCTGTTCGCTTTGCCGATCCATACCTTTTTTCTTCACGTATGAAGAGTCGAATTGATTATGCATCGAGCCAATAAAAGTAGTTTAGATTAAAGAAGCTCCTCATGCAATTGCGTCTTTTTTTGTGGTTCCTTGTATACCATGGCGGTCAGGTGGTCCTCTATGGCAAAATCAAGATAATTATACTTTCTTGGTGCTGAATATAAAAAAAAAATTGCGATTATGCCTGAGCGTTCTGTTCATCCATGTCGATTGTGAAATCCGGCTTGAAGAGATTAATAAGCATTACAACAAAGCATGTCTGTCTGTTGAAGCAAGTAGTATGATTAACTCAATGTCAAGCATCATACCAGTCCAGTAGCCTTTTATTAAAAGTCAGTAGCCATTGAAGGATCACTTTTTTCTTTTAAAACCATGTAGATGCGCAATAGCTACAGAGAGAAACCATGATCTACTACTAAGTAGTACTTTTGGTCTCTTGAAATCAATGATGGGATAAAGCGTCCCGTTACCTAGTACGGGAAATGGGCGTCTGGAAGGGCTATAGTAGTGTATGTAGTACAGATATTTTATTCCATTACTAAAGCTCCACGAAATCACGGGCGATCAGGAAACAAAAATAAATTAAGCACCGTTCCACTGTCGGCGCAAGCGCCTACCACCCCCCGGGCCACACACAACCCGGACGGCCCCACTCCGGCACACTTTTTTTCCAACCCGACGCCAAAGAGTCCCAGGAATAATTAGATGGTAGAAAAGGACAGCAATGCTGCTACTTGTCCTAGATTCTTTATAATGTAAACTATGTAATACTATAACAGGACACTCTCTGCTTAACGATCACAAGTGTTTCTGTACTTTTTTCTTTTTCCGCGCATTGAAAGGAGAAAAGGCGTGGTTGTAATATGAGTAAATCGGGCATATGGATCACTACCGTTTTTAGATCACCGTCGCTTTTAGCATCAACCGAATGTAATGTTATGCAAAGGAAAAGAAAGACTCGATAAGGAAATAATATACAGCTAGTACTAGCTTTCATGGGAGGCTGCTGCTGCTGCTTGTTATTTTAAACAATAAGAGATGAACCTCCTCTGTTTGCTCTTCTGCCCTTGAACCGCTCAGCGTATTATTGCGTCTATAGGATGCAGCTACAGCTACCATATTCCCAGAAAAGTGCCCAATTACTGTAGTCCTTTCTGAAAAAAACGAGTGGATACAGAGAGACGGTTCTGATTAATGTTGTTGTGGCTGCCGGAGCAGAAACAAGGTTAAAGATATAAAACAATCTTCTGCGTGCAGCACAACCACATGGGCCGTTCGCTGGTGTTGCATGCTCTAAGCATGGGATATAATTTATAATAAGGTTGTATTGAAATGGACTGAGTATCGGCAAAACGTTACTTATGCATCAAGTCGGGGAGGCAGGGTAATTCTCTTTAAGCAAGATCGCTGCTGAGCATGATAGACGAACTTTTGTTTATCCCCCGCCGTCTTGCTTCCTACTCCTCCTCCCCATTCCCACGCTTCATTATTAAACTCGTGCATCTTGAGGCATGTAATTCATTGCCCGCGCATTAAAAAGAAAGTGCAAGATGATGCTGCTACCTTCCAACTGGCAGAATATCATTCAATGTGCATCATACACAACCGATCCTGTTTCGATGAGACTATCATAGAGTTATATGATCCATTTGCATTATTATCAGAATGGGTAAGAAGTTATACGATAAAAGCATACCAGACTTTTATACAAAAAAAAACTATACATAGTGAGCAATGACACTTTGGTAGCTTCTGGGCTTCTTTGCTACAGCAGCTTTATTGGGCCATGTGTTAATTTCTCGTGTATTATGCAAGACATAAGGTAAATAAGGATGGTACAGACTCTGTACGAGCTTGAATTTGGGAGATAACAGCAGAATTAGCTGGCAAAGTAAACAGATGGCTAATATGCCAGTCTACATTGCATTTTTCTCTCCCTAAAAAAGAGAGGTTATCGAGCACGAAATTACCTACTTTGCCACAGCCGTTATCCCGTAACTCTAGGGTATACTACGTACTCAGACGACTTTTGAGAACATTTCATGTATCCAGGATTTAATACAAGTCGCTAGTGTATGGCATATGTTACAGCACACCATCAAAAGAGAAACCAAAAAAACCAAGGTCTCGAACGAACGCATAACATTGTTATTACATATATACAAAGAAAGGCAGTATACACATTATATCAGATTAGCTACCAGTAGTAGTAGTAGTAGTACTACTACTACTCAAGTCGACCACGCCATCGCCACTGATTCTCAAAAAGCTTACGGCCCCAGCATCGTCCACAACGGCTAGCAGAAACGACAAATTCAATGTGTTTGTATATCGGATATGATGAAAACTATCAGAATGTCGTGGTGATTTCTCCAGATCGCTGAATAGCTTTTGGTATTTCGCCAACGAGGGTATAGCATCGCAGGAACTAGTTGTAAAATCATGTCAGTTTTCACCAGAAGGAGGAGCAGAGACAAAGGGTGGGTGGGGGGGGGTTGGTAATAGGATTTACTTTGTTACTACCACACGAAAATCAGGCACGCCTGGATCCCGCTTTTTCCACTGTGGATTAGGTCGATACACATCCCAATCGAATGAAGTATCTGTTACTCGACATGTGTTTTGATCTGTTGTAAAGGGTTTATACCAAGGGCTTGAAGGGACAATTTTAAGTGTTGAGTAGACCGAGTCTGTATGAAAGAAAAGATGAGTCAAGTGACAAGAGACGACGCTGTATCCATGAGGTGTAAAAAACCTACGCAATGTAGAGGACTGATGGCGACGAACAAGCGGCCTTGAGCCAAAACAATAGAGTAAAACACGCTTGACACAATAAGCGACTGTACGAATAAGCCATCCACATTGATGGCTCCAGTACGATCCTACTAATAACGACGGCGATGGATACTGCTGCTGCTGCTGCTGCTGCAAAGGCAATGTAGAGCGTCGAACAATGTATCCAAGACGTCGAAGATACGCGTAAACTTGATACTTTTCAAAAGTAATCCATCCATCCTTTTGAGCAAACATGAATTCAAAGTAATCCTCAAGACCCGTTGTGTCGTCGTCGTCGTCGTCGTCGTCAGACTCGATACGGAGCGCACTCATATTGATCAACCAAGCAGCTTCTTCCGGATACAACATCATACAACCTTTCACTGTATGGCCCATGACACGAAAGTGTGTGCCTTTATAACGAGACACTGACGTTAAACCCGTGACACGATCCAGCGTACCCAGGCTCAGATTCTTTTCATTGACTTTTTTTCTTTCGTCAATCACTGCAAAAAGAGCATTGCGCGATTCTTCAAGACTATTTTCTTGTGACGGATCATACACATTTTCTTTTTGACCATGTCTAACATTTAAAAATAGATTAAATATATTTATTATTGACGCGATGCATTGCACAGAAATAGAATTTTGTATAATTGTACAGAGATTAAGTTTATCGTACTTTGATCGTTGTAAGAGCGTGGAGTAATCCGGTGCTTCGTCGCCTTCGCTATCGCTCATGCCTGTTTTTTTTTTGTGGTCACACAAAGTACATGGCCAAGTGGATCAAAGTGAATTTTTTTAACTTTTTTACCACTCAGCAGCTAGTATTGAAAGAAGAGGTTATATAGATCACCAAGCAAGCCTGTCCTTTTTCTTTTGTTTTTTTTTGAATCCAATCTGTATCAAATAATACAAACACTTTCAAGCAAAAAGAGCAATAGACAAAAAACAGGTTGATATATAACGTATGTAATTGTAAAATACAGCTATTTAGGACTTTTATACTTAAAAAAATCATTGGGTGGTGCTCATCGAAATCAGAAAGATAGAGGTGATGACTGCGACAACCATGGTGATGCATATGTGGTGTACTTGTCAAAATTTTGTCGAGAGAGAAAGATCAAACGTCACTACGCATAGCGTTCCCATACCCCATAAAAATGGCAACTGACACGATAGCCTTGATTACAGCTCGACGATCAATTACAGGAAATGATGTTCATAAGGTTGGAAGAGTGTACTATCAAAAAAATAAAAATAAAAAAGAGGCGGGGCTGTGGTAGAAACGGGTCTTGCCATGGTTCGGACGCATTGTAAAGGGTGGGGTGGGGTAAGTCTTTGAAGACAATGTAATGGTAGTACGAGGATTTGCCGCGTAAACTTCCAACACTGGAGCACAATGTCAGAAAACATATCAACATACTACAATCCTCAAATCTGTTGCTTTTTATGTATATTATTCGTTATCTGTGCAACACTAGTCGAGCCATCCTTTGATGCATTTGTAATACAATTGACCATGAGTTCTTACCACTATGGTTTTCAAATGTCCATACTGGGTCCTCTGTAATAGCCAGGTACGGATCCAATAAGAATTTTCATTGCGTGAGATCAGTCGTATCGTCGCACATTTAACCCCAGTCTATACCATATGTTCGCAGGTAGTTGATGAGGTTACGTTTCAAAATTGAGAGCCGAATTTCGATCCTAAAATGACACCTTCGTTTCCACCCGAGCCACCACTAGTCTCGCCTTTACTGGACAATGTGGGGTTTGCTAAACACCTTGAGTCATAACTTTATACTTTTATAAAGTAGCAAATTATAAATGTTATATACTCACACACTTGATAACGCCAGTAATGTAGCTTTTATCGCATTGGATTTTCCTACTATATTGCGAGCGAAAAAGACTGCTTGGCTGACCCGCTCTATCTTTAAAACGTTCAGAGCAAGCCCAGGCGCATCAGAAGTGAAAGGTGCTAAAGAACTCTTCTGGGTACCGCTGCAATTATGTACAGACCAATGATGAGGCCGTGTACCTTTCTCAAAATAAAACAAACAAATTGCAGCCTCTAGGTGCAGGGATCATCATGTAGTTCAAGAGCCGGTTTTTTCAAGTGAGTTTCTTGGAAATATAGAATGTAAATTATGTCTCGAGAACAAATGTATTCCTGACAGTCTTCTTTTTCAAGACCTTTTCTTATCACCATCGATCTAAAGCCCCACATGCCGCTAGCTTTATATCTTTGCCCTCGTGTTTCCTTTTTCAAAAAAAAAAAAAAAGTTTTTTCGCTAGTTCATAGTTTATTTCTATCAATAAACGAACATTACATGCAATATCTTTGTGTATATCAAGTACAGTATATATGACACCTCTAAAGCATGCATAAGTTACCATACTATTATTAGCTTAAAATTGGCCCTCTGATAAGTTGCGACAAGCGTTGCTGATGATGAGAATATACTACCTATGATAAAATCCAGCCCTACAAAACAGATGTTGCAATATGGTTTTCTGACATTGCAAAAAACCCGATGGTGCAAGCGTAAAGATTGCATTTTGTTGGGAATAGTAAGAGCGGGAGTCCACAGTAGTAGTGATAAATCGTGGTTTATTCATTATGAGTTTGGTAATATATGAATTTATACAACAATGGAGTTTATAAAGCTCCTCCTACTAATTCGTAGCTTCGTCTTCATACTTGTACGTAGCATCCAACCGTCTTCGCAGATGCTCTCCAGCAGTAATGATTTCGCCGCTCTTTGCAACCCCTTGGGTAGACTCTGAGGGTGGAGGCACCACCTTGCTAGGAATAGGCGACAATAAAGTAGCATCCTCAGGGTGAACAAAGAAAGGCATCGAGTATCGGTCGAGATGCGCATGCTCGGGTAAAAAGGTGACTCTGTGCAACGTACTTTTGAATAATCCGTTTGTCCATTCCTGCATCTGATCGCCCACGTTCACCAAGATCGAGTTCTCGATCAGAGGTGCAGAAATCCATTCTGTGCGACTGGCCTTCACCTCAAGACCGGGAACATCTTTTTGGAATAAAAGTGTGATGCTGCCGTAATCACTATGTGCACCCGCTCTCACGGGCTCCTGGTAAGTGGATTCACCGCCGCGTGGATATTTCAGATAACGGAGGATCTGACCAGATTGTTCATCGTAAGTGTGACGATCGGCAAACCAATTGGCTCCGCCTTCTTCTTCCGGGATCTGTTCGGGTGATAGCGAATCGTACGACAAAAAGCACATGTAAGAGCTTGGGAAAAAGAAACTTTTTATTTGTTAGCACGTACCTCGAGTGCAATTGCAAATGCTTGAAGGACACGCATGGCCATACCGTGGCAAGCCTACCAACGTACAGTTAATAGACGGTTGTAAAGCATATGTTTGGGGTATCGACAGCATTTAAAAAGTTTGGCGATGTGTGATAAGACTTACTCTGGAGAAACCTTCTACAAATGCATGCTCCTTCTCGAAAACAGCTGGAAGCGGAGCGTGGGCCTTACCATTCACAAAGTTACGAAAGTTGAAACCTCTGTTTGATCTTTTAGTCACCATTGCTGCAACGAATAGCCACTCCCAGTTATATATATACTTACTCCTTGTGGTCGCCTTGCTTTTGGTTCTCAGGATCCAGTCTATAGCATGCCATATTTTAAATGTGACATATTAGAACAACCCCCCCCATCGAGAAACGTGCGGAGAGAAAATTAAGTTGCTATGCTGGGGAATTCTTACGTCTCTTGATAGAGCTCAGAGTAGCCATGATTGTCTTCTTGGATCAAATATTTACGCTTCTCGTTGGCAGGCGTATCGAAAAATTCTTTAGCCTTAAAAGGGAAGAAAAAACCACGCTCATTTAGTCTATTTATTTATTTTATCTTGCTCGGAATGCAGGCAAATGGCAGCGTTGTTACCAATTCGAATGAGCGATCAATTTGATCTTTGGCAATGCCGTGGTTCACCATGTAGAAAAAACCAATGGACTTGCATGCTTCCAAGACCTTTTGAGCAACTTGCTTGGGATCGTTGTCGAAATTGCCAAAGTCAATAACTGGTATTTCGTAGGCCATGATATGAAATATGACAGATAGGAGGGAAAAAAAAAGGGAGTGAAACCGAAATAGAAAAAAAAAGATGATCTTTGTCTGGGTTAACCCCCCCAGCCCGGATTAATTCTTTCGGAAGGTCCAATCTAGGCAGTGCCGCAGGTACTCAGAGTACTCGAACTAACTATTCTACAAAGCTAATCTTCTAACAGATTGATGATAAGTGTGGAGCGAATACTTGCTCTTGGTGTAGCTATATCTTATCACCCATATTGATCAAGACATACAGTACAATAGACCCTGGTTACAAAAACCGTATGGTAAAAACGCCATGTAAGCTGCTGTAAAAAACCGACGGATTCAACATTGGAGGCTGCCAATGTGATACTTTACAGCGAGTTTCGTTTCGGATGAAGACCACCATCCCCTAGTTGAGCCAAAGACACCGTCACCTTCCTCCGATCACGCCAACAAGGGACAAAAGATGTCAATAAAATTATGATGTGACCAACAAGACTAGACGGTTGACAACAAATCCAGCGACCAACACAATGCAGATGCTATAAAATAATCTATACCAAGTGTATCCCGAGTACTTTGATACAAGTCTACGTTCACGCCATTGAATGTTTCGAAAACGATCTGCAGTGATGGGCGATAAGCAATAAGGGCAAGACTTTATTGGGTGTGATTACTTTAAATTTAAGGTTCAAAGTTCGCATGATCATGGACAGCCACCATTTTCTGTACCTGACGAAAAACTGGTGAATGACTGGGCATGGACTGGGAAAAACGTGGCACAATCGCACTTTGGACAAGTACTCTCTTGTGGTATGTACTGCAACCCAACCCCCCTCAAACCCTGCTTTGTTGAGTGGTTGGATACAGTGGTTGTTGACACGACAAGATTGGTTAGCAGGCCATATAAATAAGATAGTTTATATCATATAAAATTACAACATACAAGATAACAAAATGAACACAAAAGCAATACACAAGACGAAGAACGATAAAAATACACAGAACTAGCGGGGAAGGAGGGGGGGGGCATATGTAGAGAAAGAAGAAAATAGGGTCTTTACAGTCGTAACGGTGTCTCTAGACGTACAAGGATTTGCTGCACTTGATCACAATCACGCTGAACTGCAGTGCGGATACGATGTTCCAGTCGACGTGCTTCGTGTACACTTAATTCTGGAGTTACCTTTAATGCCATATCTATGTGATAGAACGGACCATGCTTTCTACCTCGTATTGAATGGAAATCGATCAGGTCGGGTTCCATGGTCTATGGAGAACAATTGACAACACACTTGTGAGATGACTGATTGATGACATATGAAAATTATAGCGATTCCCCGAATATACCTTCATCTGAGCCATAATCCGCCTTATCTTATCCATTTCGGACACGTCCATGCCTCTGTCCGTTAGTTCTCTGAGCGAGGATGTTGTCATTTCAAATGTGCTTTTCAGAATCATTCCTGCCACTACCAATCCACCGAGTGGATCAAGGACAGTTATGCCTGCATAGCTGCCTGCAATTGCTACCATCGCAACTCCACTCGATAACGCATCGGATCGGTGATGCCTGTTTTGTAATTATTTTTTTTTCCCACGACGAAAGGTGGGGATAGATAACAGAATACATATCAGTTACTTCTTCCACATTTCCAACAGAGGCAAATAGAGAAACCGACATTTACCAAGCGTTCGCTATTAGCACTTCACTCCGCTCACTTCGACCCACCTTGAGTGCTACATACACATCAATCAGTAAACAAAATATATCTCTCTCTTGTGGCATACATATCATATAGAATCTCTCACGCTTATACTTACTTGCTCGATATAGCCATTCCTTGACAAGAACACTTGCCAAGGCGAACCAAGCTGCATTTGGGTTCAGCAAACCATCGGAATGTGAAGCGTGATCATGTAATATTGACGGTATCGCTGCAAACGACGCTGGGGTTGCCGTCGAGCTGCCAGCCTTTTCCGTGACCTGCTGTTGGGCATCCAAGACCACGGGTGCTGTCTCCTGAACCGCTTGCGTAACCTCTATTGTCGATGCATTGTTCAGAGTCGCCTGTAATAATTCCAGCGAGTGTACTCCGATGCCGATTGCGCCCGCGATCAGGAGAGACGAGATGGCCAATGAACCGACCGTCTCAAATTTGCCTTTGGGTGATAATGTCAATTCAGTGCTTTTTTTGCCCCCTCCGCGTATCCATCAGCATCCTCGCAAGCACTCCATCTTCACTCCACTGACTGCAGAAAAGAAAATCGTTTTATCAGCAAAATTTACCATAACCGTACGGATAAATCGGATCCGGCGGCTTCCGTGACATTTTAAACGTATACAAGGTGACAAAGTCACTTAAAAGATCTATCATCAAAACATCAATTAATATATCCTTTTTTTGGAAGCTCCCACTGTTTATACATCAACACACAAGAAACTCACCTCCAAACGAATGTGCAGCATCTGCCAACAATGCAGCAGAATTCATCAGCCTGAAACAAAGCCCTTGAGTGATCTTGCTTTTGGATCCACTCCTTTGTGCCTTCCTCATAGCTCCTTCTTTACTCGGAGTATGACTCGGAGTATGACTTACCATCCAGCTGCGCCCTTCGTCACTGTCAATCCAACATTCGATGCTAAGCCAATCATGGTTATTTGAACACCTCGTTTTCCTGCATGTCACAAATGAGCGATTAGAAGCAGCCGGTTAAATTCAGCCCGATGCGTATGTAAGAGCATAGCAGTTTTGGGAAGGATTACAAACCAGAGTGTTCAAACGTGGTAGCAATGTCGGCGTGTATTGGATGATTGTGGCTATGTGATCCATGGTTACGTCGTGCAGCAGCTGGGGTCCTTGACGATACCCTGTATTGTGGAGACGGTGAGGACGAGGGAGTCCATAAGCCAAGCGTACTCGATTGCTGTTTAAGCAGTGCACTTGTGTAGTATGCCGACGTTTGCTGCTGATACTGACAACGCATAGCGTGCTTCGACGGTGTCCTAGCCAACAGCAGCAATCGTGTTGTCATGGCGGTAGCGATGCTGATAAGGTTTACTTCCAGAGAGGGGAAGGCCAAGAGAAAGAGAGAGAGAGAGAGAGAGATGGAACAGAAGCAAAAGCAGACGAAAAGAAGAAGGAGGAGATTCAAGGAAAAGAGAGAAAGAGGGAAAGGCGTTGTAGTTGCACCAGATCGCACAGTACCTTTATTTTTGTTTAGTTTTGTTTTCCGAGTTTACAAACAAAACTGGCGGGCGAAATTTGACGATCTGATAAGCAGATGGCGTTATGTTTTCACATATAGATTAAATATTCAATATCCGCTGGAAGAACGGCACAGCGAGTAACCCCACACTCTGTGATTTTATCGTTCTCGGCAAAAAATTAACAAAGACCATCGCATTCGACGCCCGTGCGTTCTGGTTTTTTTTTTTTTACATTTTAAACCATGGCGTGATCATTTTCGACCAGTCTAAAACGCTATTACTTTTGAGTCTAACTCTGTTTTGTCTGCTCACTCCGTAACGTCTGACATTGTACTTCCATCCACTTTCTCCCCCCCTCCGTCAGTAACATGGGAGGTGACGACGTCTCAGATGGCACTGCAGCCCGGACGGAACAAATCGAATCCACTAGAATCGCTTCATCATCATCATTGTTGAACGTCAATAGCCGCCAATTTCAATAACACAAGTAGTTACGTGCTGAGCAGGGAGCAGCTGGGGTTCAGGGTCAGTATGTGTGTTGTGCTACTGGTTGTTTCAGTTGTGAAAAAGAAAAAGACTCAGATGTAATAGTTCCTGCAGAATAGTTTTTGATATCTATAATTGCAGTTTGGAATAATCCTTGTACGTGTACGTTTTGCAAAACTAAGCAAAAACGATAAAAGATACTATTGAGCTGCTCTACATGCATTGGACGAAACTCCTTTCATTTGTTTGATGAATACCTGAGCTCTGTTGCTCATTTGAGCTCGCGGCATCTACCCTAGTCTGTTCGGTAAGCATCTCATAGGAGAAGCTCATCGGCGGGGTCTCTCTTCTTCCCTGCCGCGCCTTCTGGAAGAAGAGAACCGATGCATTAGTTTTGTTCAGAACTGGAAACAGGCCAAGTTGATGCTTGTCACAGAGAAAATAACGATGTATGAACCTGCTTTGGTCTCTTTGAAGCTGGATATGCACCAGCATAGCTCATAGCGCAATCGTCGTGTCATCGTGTGAAATGACCGAAAGCCCGCGACGCACTATTATCCTCGAACGTCATCGAGCCCTTTATTGTAATCGATGAGAACTTTATCTCAGTCGGCTTTAATATAGCATGCTCTTTCATCTGTAACCGAACACGGGCGGTTCTTTTTCTCTTGCGATCTCCTTTTTTTGGCAACGAGGGTACCGTTTACAACGAGCTGCTGCTTCAGCGAGGGAGCCTCGGTCGGAAATTATCCAATCTTTGCAATTTGTTACTTCTCACTTACATGAAGCGTTTGTTGTAGATGGTCAACCACTTGGCCTATATGTAACTGATGTAATGCATAATACACGCTACTACCCGAAACAACTTTGTCAATTCTCCTAAAAAATAATGGCTTCTATTTTTGGTGTAGCGGCTAGATGCATTATTATCGTCAACACAATAAACGAGGATAACGCCATCCCTGCTCCGCTATTCGAATTAAAACTTTATTATTATGGGATTTGGAAACGGAGGGCATCTCAGGATTACTGGTGAAGCTTGCTGCTATGTAGAAATGCGCACTGCTGTCCTGCTCAATTGCTGCCCCAAAAACCGTAGCGATGGCGACACCCAGTGGTCGTGTATCATCATCCTAAGGTGATACAAGGTTATGGAGTTTCATGACAAACAGCAAAATCTGCATCAATATCAATCAAATATACCTAAAAATGGGCAGCCGATTATTTCATATATGTGCATTAATATGACTCAGGTTACCTTTTATGCCTGCTTGATTATTAGAGTAAAAGATCGACTTGCTAGACTTTATTTGCAAGTACAGCGTCATAGTTTCCTGAATAACTGGGATGAATGAAAGGGTGTGGGATACTCGGTTTGGGATGATACTGAGAGATACCACGAATAAAGGGCTCTATTATATAATACGTGTATGCGCTATTGCTAATTTTAAGGGTTGAGGTGGGTGCATGTACGTCGATTCCGAGGTAAACGGGCTTTCCTTCTGTTTTTCGAACTGTTGTATACGACTATTGAGATCTCGTTTTGATGAATGCAGTTTTGGCGTAGTATGTGTTGTCATTGTAGAAATTCAAGTAACACAAAAAGATGGTACGGATTTGTAATGCCAAAATGTTCTTACATGAATATTGCACTTTCTGCATGTATGATAGGTGCATACTACTTTTGCTGGCCACTGGATCACTTGCTCTCGAGCGGAACGATTCCAAGTCCTCGTATGCAATCAACAATGTGTGTTGCAGCTCATGATGCTGATATGTCTATAGTATTCCTTTTATTTTTGTTAGTCATGTTTCCTCGAGTGTCGCCGATGTTCTTGTCGTTTCGATATCACCATGATGTTTGTGAGCTGGTTTGTGTTTCTTGTAGCTCACACTTCCCGGCTTACGCTCTTCTATTACTGTGTTATTATAGCGTTAAGCTTCACCAATGAGTTGCTAACGGCTCGATTCTTATTTTCTGGTTTACATACTGAGAAATCCAAGTGCGTGTTCCATCATCTAAAGCAAACCATGACCTATTCATTGACATACCCTGCAGTTTTCTCTTGTGATCCGACAACTGACTACATTATCCGCATCCAAAAAAATCTCTAAAGATTATTGCTTTCTAAAGGCATTGTTTGCTAATAATTTTTCTTTCTAATCATTAATAACGTCGTGTTTGTGTGGAAACCTTGCATGTTATAAGTAGCGTACACAAAGCTGCTATAGTAGCGTGAATGTATATGGTGACCAACAGTGATAAAAACAAATGAATATGTCACACTCAAACATCATCATAAAATGGAACTACTATTAGTAGTTAACAGCAAGAATGATGTACAAAGCACGCCCATCACCATCTTCATCATCATCACCATTTAGAAACGGTGAGCTCTACGATTTCGCACAAAGAATTAATTCGCAACGTGTCTCGAGGATTCGTGTTGTGCTCAAGTTGTTTGGATGATCTACCCCATGCGGTTATGATATCTAAAAACAAACGTCAAAATCGATCTCTTTAATGATGCATTTGTGCTCATCTATCCCCTCGATGATGCCATTGGAAGTTTAGACAATATCCAGGGAGCGAGTGAGCTGATACTTTTGGCGTCATATCTTGCTGCGACCTATGATGTTTTTATGTCGTATTGTGGCAATAGTGGGCCTCCGATTGCTAATACCTTGTAGAATGTGAGCATGACCACAATGCTGCGAATAGTATTATTTAGTGCGTTGAATTTATGCTGTACGTACAAGTTGTTTTGGCTCAAACAGAGTAACCCGTATTGATCCACTGGCTGTAAGCTATCACAGCTAAAATCAAGACTGAATACGATGGCGAAAGCTCGGAAATAAAGATGTTGCAGGAACTTTATGGAAACAACAACCACCCCAGCAATGGCTTACATAGTTTACACAACAAACAACCAAGTGCATTAGACAGCAACAGAATACAGAATCAAGCAACAGGTAGAACTAATATCATATTGATATGAAACAGCAATTTGTATATAGGCAAATGGTGTCATGAACACTATAAAGGAAGAATTCACCTAATGACTATAGAGCGTACTGTAGACATTTTGAGAGGAACCCATTGTACTTGTATGTACATTACAGATAACGCGATCAAATTGTTCCGATTCTAAAAGCCTTTCTTCCTTTGGCGTGCAATGCAAAGATGTAAAGTAATACATATGAAGCATTTTATGTCAAATGTAGTTTACCCAGGTTCTGTATGTGGAAATCAGTCATCAGCAGGAAAATCTCAATGGAATGAAGCTAAAGAGAAATCAAACAATCATCACAAGTGAGGACGTGGTAATTCCGGGCGCGCTCGGTAAAGAAGGAAAACCACTGCGGACCATATGGCCCTGTTCCTTTTGTTCCTTTCCAGACTGTAGCTCGTATATGCGATCTAAAAATATACAAGCGTGTTGAGTTTCGTGTCAGTCAAGAAGTAGAAGATAGCGAGCACACAACATTCGATAGCATGGAAAATAAGAATGTTACTGATCTGTAACGGTGCATACCGTCACGACGATATCCGACCTGCATGGTTGATTAAGGAGTAGTTGACCTGGATACCCTATATACAGGTTTTAATTTAGAAGTGGCGGTCGATTTTTATCGATATGGCGCAACAGTTTTTAAAGTTTATGTGTATTTGTACTATAAAACCCTGCCAAACTGAAAAACCAACCAACGGCCATTTTTTATGGGAAAAACCTGTTGTAGAAGTATGATGTAGATTAATACATAGACGTTAACTAGCCCCCTATTACTCAACGTATATACTAAGACGGGACCCTGAGTTATATGAGTCCCTATCGTTTTATCCTTTGATATATTCGAATCTCATCTTGTTTCTATTGCTTTACACTGTTTACCATCCAAGTTTTCAATTGTAGGTATCTGGGTCGATACTGTTACACGATGCCGTTATTAAATGGGTGCTCAAGAACATACAATTAAATTAGAGGGCCATATTCTGGATCTAAGTAACAATGATAGTGATGCTGAATCAACTGCTGATGACGACGACGACAACGAAAATCTCATGCATGCGGTCGATAGCGCATGACAAGGCCAAAGTGACCTTGTAGAAACTGAAGTAGATCAAACGGCGAACAAAAAATGCATACTCTTCCACAGTATCAATGAAATGACCTACGATATATGGTTAAAAGGGTTCTATACCCGACCCGACCCGTTCAACCCGACGGGTCAAAACTCGGGTTGACGGGTCAAGACTGATTTCAATGTAGTGATGAAGGAAGTGTCAATCAGCCTGAACTTGAGCGCTGGAAGTGATTTTTCCTCACCAATATATGCTTTCCATAAGAGTTCGGGCATATCAAGCACAGGTTGACCAATTCCGAGTTCGAAAATGGAGCGACAACGGCCCTCAGCGTGTTTCTGCAAAATAACTTTTTTTTCTTGACAGACAGACAGGCAGAATAGCCGTCAAACTTTAATAACGTTCTCTTTTGAAATGTGCATTTCAGAAGTACACGAGGGCCCAGAAGGATGCAAGTCTAAAATATGTAATTGGTAATGAATTGGTAGTTTCATTTTTGAAGATATAGTATCTTTAAATGGTAAATATGTTTTTCTACAGAAGGGACGACGGTAGTACATTTATACATACAGCACAAAGATATATTCACACACACAGACACACACACTTCAATTAGCAACACACACACGCACACACACATTTCTGCATCTTATTAGGAAAAGCGTAAAATCATGCAGGAAAAGGAGCTGACAAAAGTCCAGGCTACAACATATCTGCATCATGGCTCGGATCGCCTAGAGCATAGATATCCGTTCGACTGACCCATGCATTCTATCTGATGGACCAAGTGAAAGTACCACGCAGACATGGTCTAGTAAATGACTTTTCAAGACGATTTCGTGACGCACTCTTTGTTGTATTGTAGATGAAGACGGCAAACATGTGTTGAGGAAGTTTTGCAAAAAGTAACGACATGTTGTAAATATAAACCAACATGGGTGTTCAGGCGTGTTAAGCGTAAGCATACAAAGAAATAATTATTATAGCTTTGGCGCATCACTCTATAAAGTTACATTGTTTTTTTGACGGTATTATACCCCCTTCCACTGTGCTGTATCCTGACATCAAGCAACTTTTTGACACATATGGGCCAATGAAATGTGCTAGTCAACGGTATCACCATTTTCTACGAAACACTTGAATACCTTAGATGATACTTCAATACATGGAAAGAATACGAAAACACGTAAAAACACAAAGTACAGCTACAGAAACACACTACAGCCCTTCGAGAAGCGATACAGAACGACGGGCAGAAAGCAACACATACCAGGTACCCACCTTCTCCGCTAAAAGCACCTCGCTTGCGAAAGGCTTCCAACATCTACCACCAGCATCAGCAGAACATCCTAGCAACAGCCATATCATCAGCTTCGACAGCCACGTTTAATTTTGCCAGTGTTATCTAACCAACGGCAGCAACAAACATTCATCGATACAGATATATCACAGATACAGGAGCCAGAAACAGAACCGGCACCATCAGAAGCACCACCAAGAAGCAACCTTAATGATCTTCCGGCAAGGCGTGCCAAATGACGTTGTTAAACGTGCACATCATCCGAATGTGGTGGCAAAAACTATTTATGCAAGATGTCCTCAAAAGAGTCATTAAATAAATCATTTCAGAAATAGCAGTGTAAGTGGCGAAATGTCCCAAAGCTACGCTTTGGACCATTTTGGGAAAAATTAATTCTGTCGGTCGCACCCTCAACCGCAATTTATAGGTTAAGCTCTGGTGTATCGGTATTACTAGGATTCTTGCCGGCTGTCAAATAACAGATAAACACTCCATGCTTTGCCAGTTACAATTACAGCTACGTCGTCATGTCTCGACAACAAATGGATCAAAATGTTTTACCCGGCTCATGTCTTCCTACGACGTAATCTAAATTAGTCATACTTTTGTTGTTCAATGAGGATTTGGGCGCGCGTGCCATTGCTATTTGGATATGTTTACTTAATGAGATCTTTTATGAATTTGTATTCAGGGCCGAAACAAATTGTCAACCATGTTTACGACATTAACTAAAGAAGAAACGGCAGAAGATAGTAGTGCCACAGCAAGTCATGGCTTATTGTTGAAAGCTGGTTTTGTACGCCAGGTATGAAAAGAAAGTTTACACACAGACGTTTGTGGGGGTTAAGGGAAGAAAAAGGGGTAAACCTTATAGCGCTGAAGGACGTTATAAAGCTAAAAGACAAAGAGACGGTTAACCATGTGTTTACGACAATAGTCTTCTTCAGGCATTTATTCTATGCTACCATTGGGTCTTCGAACGTTAGAAAAGATTGAAACGATCATTGATCAAGAGTTGAAAGCTATTGGTAATAACGTTAATCTTATCAGTAGCTGCTATCCTTTCTTATGTTTCACTTGCTAATTACTTTCTTCCATATCACGCCGCTCATTTAAACGAGATGATAATAGGTAGTCAAAAGTTGTCACTACCGGTATTACTATCCGCAGAGAATTGGAAAAAATCGGGTCGGTGGAACGCATCTAAAGGGGAGGTATGTATGCTCGAGATTGCATATGTCCATATAGCACGAAGTCATTAGGAGGGAGAAACGCTAACAAGGTTACATCAACATGCCCATGCGTACTCTTTGACCCCACATTGTTCAGTTCTTTCGGTTAAAAGATCGACGAGATTCCGACATGTTATTGTCGCCAACACATGAAGAAGAAATCACACAACTTGTTGCATCAGAACTCAAATCAGCCAAGCAACTACCTATACGACTTTATCAAATCGGCCGGAAATACCGTGATGAAGCTAGACCAAGAGCTGGCCTCTTGCGGGGCCGTGAATTTGTCATGAAGGATCTGTATACATTCGATGCATCAGTAGAAGATGCTTATGCTTCGTATGATCTCGTTGCCAAAGCATATCAAAACATTTTTCAACGTATTGGTGTGCCATTTGTTGTGGTACGTTGTGCATTTCTACTACCATTAGACGAAGGAAGAACAAAATTGCTGACTATCTCTTTATGACTGATCACACACGTTAGGCCGAAGCTGATAGTGGCAACATGGGCGGCTCTAAATCACACGAATACCATCTCATTTCGCCTGGTACGTATATCCCATCACATATTAGACAGTTAGCAAAATCTAAGGGTAAAGGGACGGGTAGTCGTTTCTTTTCATTATAACTCATTAAAAATAAATATTTTCTAAGCTGGCGAAGACACCTTACTGACCTGCTCCAGCTGTGGTTACACTGCCAACGAAGAACTTGCGATTGGAAAACTTGATCAGCAAAAAAAGGTCGACAACGTCGCGATTGATATCAATGACAACAGCACACCAACAACAGCCGGCAGTAGTAACAACTCGAGCATTACGCATCATCTCGGTTTTGCCGCTTTGGACAAAGAAGGTCAGCAACTGCATAGTGGCAAAATAGCGGTTGTCAGCAGTCCTGGTCGTGCCATCAACAACGTCAAAATCGAAAAAACGTTGCGCAAATATTTCGAAGAACAAGAAATTATGCCTACAGATGGTATGCTCGACTTGACTTACACATCCCAAAACAACAATAACACGAACGATGGACCAAACCATGTATTTATTGACGATTCAGTCCAAAGCTATACGGTATCCGGAGGTCAATTGATTATGCACGGACCTGACCATTTCCGCACGGCCGCTGCAGGCGACACGTGTGCATCCTGTTCTAGCGGAAACGCTTTGACCACAGTCAAAGCCATTGAAGTCGGTCACACATTTTACCTTGGCACAAAATATTCGAGTACACTTGGTTGTGACTTTTTGCCTATTAGCACCCATGATCGGCATAAACAACTCCAACAACAAAAGCAACCTGCCGAAATGGGATGCTATGGTATCGGCATCTCACGTATGGTGGCGACTGCAGCAGAAGTATGTCACGATGATCGAGGCATTGTTTGGCCGGGAAGCATCGCGCCTTATCGCGTCTGCATCGTACCTACCAGTAACAATAATCAAGACCTATTAAATCTGGCGGAAACAATCTATGACTCACTCGAAGATACCGCGTTCAAAGTCAAGGGCCGTGGTTCAAGTGTGTTTTATAACGACGTGGTGATTGATGATCGCAAACAGATGTTTGGTGCCAAAATGGCAGATGCTGAACTTATCGGATATCCGTTTATTGTCGTGTTGGGCAAGAACGCGCTTCAGACGCGAACAGTCGAGGTCAATCAACGCGTACAAGGTGAAGCTAATGTTAAGAGCAAGATTCCTATTGAGGAGCTGGGACGATGGTTGTTTGAACGCCAAGTTATTTAAGATGTATGACTATGTACTATATATATAGCCTAGCCCTACTTATTATAATCTTACTATAGAACCATTATACAGATTTAATTATACGCATGTGTACGAATATAAGCGACAAAAGGCACATTTTGTATTAGAAGAGCATTGATCCCCCTTCAATCTAGCCCTTTCCCCAAGCTCAAATAGTTGACAGGGTCAGAAGCATGTCACATAGTAATGATAATAATAAAGCAAGTTGCATCTTTCTGATCGACAAACAAACACGCGCGTGCAGAGAGAAAGGGGAATAGAGGCGGGACTACAATAGTTGAGCTCGACCCTTTTCAGTGGAATCTTATTTTGCACATGACAGACATTTTGCTTGTTTGGACATACTTCCTGGGCCGATCTTGTTGCTTTTGTTGTTGAAGTTGTGTATCCACTCAATATAAACTCGGCATGCGTGAATATTGAGAGACATCATCATCGCTACTATCTTGTACCACACCTCTTCCGCATGTTGTGTCTCTCTCTCTGTCTCTCTCTCTCTCTCCTTGATGTTTTCTATCCTCCGCCCACATCACAAACACTGCCAACTTGTTGAAAAAGGTCTCACTAGACAGTGAGTCTTCTCTCTTTCTTCTTCGTTCCTGTTTCACCTAGAGGAAAGTGGTCCGATCTCAGTTTTTCTAAGACTAAGCTGTGGAGAGTAACAATCAGCACTAGAGGGACAGAACAAACGCATAAAGTCAAAGGAAAGGTCAAGAGAGAGCGAAAGCGCAAAAAAAAGGGACGAAATCCAAAAAAAGAGAAAAAGGGTTTGAGCGGTCTCCTCTTTGTTTGCGTCTTCTTTTTTTTTATCCAACTTGCTCCTCTTCTCCCTTTTCGCACCCTCTCTTCCCACAACTTCCCTTTTTAAATCAGTTCTGTACTTTGAGGTAAGATATCAACGTTTTCTTAAAGCACACTACAGCTAGTACAGCACAGACCTCGTCCTCAAGCAGCCCTCCTATTGCTCCCTCTCTGACTATTACGTTGCCTGACTCTGCTGCGCACTGAGCACACATACTCACTCACTCTCTCACTTCTTTTCGTTTTTTCTACCGTACTGGAACGTCTTTTACGTTTCTGCTATTACTCTGGGGATGCTCACATCTACCGTTATTCAACTGCAGTGATGTCCTCAAACAATAGGATGTTCAATCCTGCTGTGGGCCGGCCTAACCTTCATCTTTCAGCATCTGGATCGTCACCAGCCGGCAGTGAATACAACCATGCTAGACAAGAACACCAGCACCAGCATCGTCGACCTTTCGGAAACGTGACCAACACGCAGCTGCCGCTGTCTGCTAGTATGGAATGGAAGCACCATAAGCAACATCCGTCACTCCACAAGCAACAGAGCGCAATGCTTGGGTATCTCCCACATGTACCATCGCTCCCCAATCATCCTCATCGTCCGCAGGATCCTTTGGCCTTTGGAAAGTACAAAGCAAGATTTGATCCTTTTGGTGCGCCGCCTCTCATTCCACACGTTGACCAGCAACACCATCAGTACACGCAAGTACATCAAACGCAGCTGCCACAACAAGTAGTAGCTTCTACCGATGGCGTCATGTCATCTTCGTCATTGGTCCTTCCTGGAACATCCTCATCGCATTCGTCAATGCTAAGAGTTGAGGGCTCTACCACTGTGACTCCTCCAGGCACAGGTAACAACAAATCAAAGTGATTTTTCTCAGCCCCCGCACTTCCCATCCTTTCCCATCTTCTTTCCAAGAATGATTATGCGCAAAAGGACTGTGGTAGCAGTAATAAGCTCACGCATATAGTGCAGATCCTCAAGCAACCCATCACCTTTACGTTGCCAATCTAAGATCCGAAAACGATGTGCGAGCCGTGTTTCGTCTTGTTCAAGTAAGGAGTACTTCCTTTTTTCTGCTATCTCAATATCGTCATCACTGTTCCCATCCCTCCCCACAAAAGAGAAGAAAACATGTGGTTTACCCTGCGAAAGAAAGAGAGAGAGAGAGTTTGAGAGAAACTAACTACTCTTGTTTTTTTTTGTAAAGTCTTCCGGTCAAACCAAAACAGTGTATTCAGACTTGCTGCACAGCTCAGGCATACTGATGGTGACATTCTATGATCTAAGAGAAGCAGCATTTGCATTGGAAGCACTTGAATCGTTCATCTCATCCGAGTATCAAGAAGGAGTTATAGCGACATACATATCCGATGTTCGATTTGCTCAGCTGTCCAACACCCCACCTCAAGACAGCCGATGCGCTAGAACAGTAACTTTAACTCTCTGTGGTGCTCATAATCGCTTGGTGGAATTCAATTACAAGGTGAAAAAGACAAACAAACAGTCCCTTCTTCTTTCTATTCATATGCTACGTTACATTAGTCTAGTAGAAGCTAATGCTACTAAACCTTGTAATTGTCTTACACAGGAATTCTTCGATACTTGGGGAGCTACAAGAAGTATGACTGGGATGGAATTCTCCGGTAGTCGGCGCACGATCGAGGTTGAATACTTTGACCAACGTGTTGCCTCCCAAGTCACAGCTGAGCTGCACAATCACGCCTATCAGGTAAAAGTCTAAATAAAAAACTTACACTAATCGGATGACTATGTATGGACCCTGGAACCTTTATTTTTTCTCACAACAAAAACCCTTTTTTTTTTGTCATTAAAATACTTCAGGGTATCTCTTTCCATGTCTGCAGCGCTTGGCTTGGTGCTACTAGTGGTATTGCTTTCACTCCACCTGATGCTGGACTCTTTGATTCTCCCACGTCGCGGTTTTCCTCGTCGCCGGCGAGTTACTTTACTTTCACTGATACTTCCGCTTCCGGTGCTGTGCACGCCCGACAACAATCTGCAAACGAACAGCTACTATTGACCACTGAGCACCGCCCACATCATCTTCCGCCGAGTTCCTCAGCGTTTCGACTGTTTCATCCAGAACATCAGCACCATCATCTACAACCGACTAGCGCTTCTCTACCCGCTGCTCTTATGATTGCTCCTTCCAATGTTAGTCCTGGATCCAATCCAGCAGCAACATCGCCCTTCAGCTTATTTTCCAGCGTGCAACCATTCGGTTTTGAAGAACAACGTCATCCTATCCAACCGTGTAGTAGTACACTGGAACGTGGATCTGGCGATTCCTCTTCTTCGAGCCATGAAGCAATGTCGACAGCAAGAGAACTTGTAGGAGAACATATTCATCGCCCTCTCGCTACCTCACGTGGTCCGTCAGTAAGCGCCTCTTCATCGTCATTGCAAAGCCAGGATAACACGTTCAGTATTGAACGTGTGCGCAATGGTAAGTGCTATTTACTCTTCTTTTCTTTCCACTGCCACCACTTGCTGTGCAAACAGTATGTAATCAAGTCTTGATTACCCACATCTATTGACTGTCTTTGCGTACTTTGCTCTCAAATTCCAACATTAGGAAGCGATACCCGAACCACGTTCATGATCCGTAACATACCAAACAAATATACCCAGGTAGGTTTCGTCCCCACCAACAAATCTCGCTCCATCTATAGCTATCACCACCTATTGATCTTTGATTTTCTTTCATTGTCACTGCAATCCATCTCCATCTCCTGTGCTTACATACTATGCTTAATCTTCGACCAAATATCTCACGGACCTTTCTCTCTTATTCTATCTCATACTAGCAAATGCTGAAGGAGTGCATTGACGCCACGCACAGGGGAACGTATGATTTTCTTTATCTGCGTATCGACTTTCAAAACAAATGCAACGTTGGATACGCGTTCGTAAACTTTATCGACGTTGGGTAAATGCTTCATTATATTTATTTACTGTTGCTGCTTACAATAACGTTGCTCCCATTGTCAAGTGGAGTGTCCCACTAATTACATATGAGTACATATACTATATATAGCTCGGTTATTACATTTGCCAAAGAAAGAGTCGGAAAGCGCTGGTATGTATTATCGCATCGCTTGTTCTCTCTCTCTCTCTCTCTCTCCTTTTGCACCTTCCAAAATTAATGTACTCAATTTCTCAATGACATATTGGCAACAACATCAATGACAAACAGGAACCGCTTTAACTCCGACAAGCGCTGTTCAATATCATACGCCAATATTCAAGGCAAGGTTGCGTTGATTGAAAAATTCCGCAACTCAACAGTTATGCAAGAAGATGAATCCTACCGACCGAAGATATTTTACACGAGTGGCCCCCGAATTGGGGAAGAAGAGGCAAGTTTCCTTTTTTCTTTTTCACGTGCTTTTGTTAGTTGTTCTGCTCTAACTCATTTTTGGTGCTTTGTTTTGATGTAGCCGTTCCCGCAACCTACCATCTCCTACGAAGTACGACGCCACCGCCACTGAGAAAGAAGCTATTGCATTATTATCACATTCACACACATCAAGTAAAAAAAAAAAAGAAAAAAAACATGATAAACAAAAAAATAGATTATACTCCTCCATTAGCATTCCCTATAAATCATCATCATATTTGCATTTTTTAAATCCCTGCACTACATAACACCATACACATCAACCTCGCTTTGCATATCATCTTCTGTGTATTTTTTATATATATTTTGTACTTATTCGTAGGCTAGGGTGATCCCACCATTCTTTGCATTCCTGAAACTTTTTTTTTTAAAAAAAAACAAGAAAGACAGTTCTACTTTTGCTAATACAATTTGAAGCGGTATGAATAGCATTTAGTTGGATTAGGAGCTCCATGTATACAGTAGCAGGTACATCCAGCTGGCTTAGAGCTTTCTTTCTTAAAGAGCAAATGATACAACGTCAAATAGAAATTTCGGAATACATGAGCGATAGAAGTAGAGCGTCGCACTTCTTGACGGACTGATGGTACACTCCGAGAATCAGCCACAGTTCTCTGATGTATATCATGTCAATCGAGCAGTGTATGTAATCGAGTAAGTTGAAAAAAAAACTATACCTACATTCTAACATGTGTGTCCCCATTGTATCATTAACTAATCCACTCGATCCCAGTCTATATCTTCGGTGCCACACACTATATGAAGAAAAGACGTGCAAACAAAAGAAACACCCTTTTACTTTAATAGAAAGAAAGAGATGTGATTCAACCATTGTTCATGCAGTGTGGCAACGTAAAAATAAGCTTATATGAAGGCAAGGTTGGCTGTAACATTTAGGGGGGCTTACATAGCCTTTTGGGTGGCCAAAACGTAAATCCATGAGACGGTCTTGGAAAATGATTTTTGAGAGTGACAGCTGCAATGGGTAGGTAGTCATGGTTAGAAAAGAATGGAATCGCTTCGAACGCACTTTGCCAATTTCTGTTCTCCTTAAAATGGATAGTTTTAACGTTGAGTGTGATAAACCGTTGGCCTGTGCGTATACTGCACGCATGCCGAAAGGTCTAAGATAGTCCAAGTCAGGGGAGTTGTCGAAGATTATAATAAACTGTTAGCTTCCGAAATATAAATGAGCAAGCCCATAACCGACTACTACGTCATGATGATGGTGTAATTTCACCGTACTTGAAACAAGCGGTCCTGAATAACTGGATTATTATAACGTTAAGTTACAAAGCAAACATACCCCAATCACAGGAGTGGTTCGGCTGAGCACAACATATATACTTTTAAGTACCACTGTTCGTTTCTATGCCATGTTTATCATCAAGGTTTTATTTTTTGAAAAAAAAAAAAGATATCATTTTTACACATATATAACAACACATCACGTCTTGTTTCATCAGTTTATCAGTATTACTGTGGCGCATGGTCAGGATTCCATCCACCCGAAGACGGTGGATAAGGTGGTTGTTGTTGCTGGTGCTGGTGCTGTTGTTGGCTCTGCAAGATTTGCGCTAACTGGCTTAATGCAGCAGCAGGGTCTGTGATTGCTGCCTGTTGTAGTGGTTGTTGCTGAGGGTCAACACCAGCGGTAGATGGAAGTGGTGGTGGTGGTGGTTGTGACGACATGGCCGCAGGCGGGATAGGTTGCACTTGCTGCGTTGGAGGTGGTACTGGCTGTTGATAGTGCTGTTGTGGTTGTGGTTGTTGTTGTTGCTGCTGCTGCTGCTGCTGTTGTTGTTGTGCTGCCATTTGAGTCTAGAACAATTACACACACATACGTACGTTAAGTCATTTCGATCAAATTTCAATAAAAGTTTTTCCTTGTAGAGTTATTTACCAAAAAGCCTAACACTTGCTGCAACTGAGCGGTTTGATCATTAGCGGGAGGTGCTGCTTGTTGTTGTTGTGTTGCTGGTGGTATTGGCACACCGGCAGCTGGAGGAGTATAAGTTGGATAAGACTGCGGTTGTTGCTGTACAGGTAGAAAAGTCGAAGGCTGAGCCATTGCCCCGGTTCCTTCGTTGGGCTCATCTTTCTTTGCGAATATATTCAACAGTTGCTGTACATATAGTGTTAGCCAATTTTAGGAAAAAAGTCCAGCACATGCTATCATACCATTATATCCTTATAAACTATTTTACCTGCTGTGCTTTTTGTGCTTGTTCAAGTCGCTGATTGTCTTCGTTTGAAGTGTAGCTTGGTATCTCAGGGTCATAACGGCGGTTCACGCCACGAGGTGAAATAGACCGGTTGTTACCACGACCGAAACGGGCGCCTCGACCTATTGCAAATCAAAAGAGATAGGATCAAGTCGTTAAGACCTATTTGGTTCCGTGTAGTGTATATACCTCCAGAGTCAATTCGCTAGACTTTCTTACCACTGTCATCATGACTGCCACGACGGTCATCGTCATTGTGACGTCGCGACCGAGAGAAGTCTCTTCCACCACGAGGACGACGATCGTTGTCACGACGATCGCTTCGACCAGCCGGTTTAACATCAGCAGGTCTTTCTTTCTTTGCAGCAAACGCCTCACTTCTCTCTCTATACATTTAAGCGTTAGTTATTGTTTGTTTGCATTCAGCCGAGAAAACCACGTCGGTTGCGAAAAGCCTACCTGTTGGTATGATCCCAGAAGAACGATACATCCCAGCGGCCGCCCTTGTATTCCTTTCCATGACAATTGTCAAACGCGTCAACGCAAGCCCGAGAATCAAAAAACTCTACGAATCGTTGTCTATGGGAAAATGTGGCAGGTCAGTATATCCGCACACGCATCAATAACGACTAACTCTTATTAATATTCCCCCGCTTGGTGTACCTTCTCTCATTGTTTTCAGTGTGATGTCTGAAATGGGGTGTTCGAATAATTTTGACTTCACCAAACTGGGCAAAATAGTCGTACAATTGATCATCTTGTAACCAGGCTTCAGTGTTCTTCAATGTAAAAAGTAAAGTACCCTGTGCATGAAAGAACAAGCAGTATTTGCGGATCAGATAAGACAGCTCGTATCTTTCTCTACTATCTCACTCTCCAAGCTCTCACAGTCTCCTTCTCAACCCCTTTCTCTCTCCACAACTAACCTGGTTCTTGCTACGATCACATTTTGCATTCTCTTCCTCTTCTTTAGGCAATGAATAGTGAACATCGATTCTCCGATTTGCCAGAAACATGCCTTGAGTAGCTTCCTTTGCTCTCTCTGCCGCTCTTATGTCGTGCTAGACACAGTAATCGATGATATCATCCAATAATGAGGATGCAGATCGTATGATATCATATGAGCAATGGACAAATAACTTACAAAGGTGACAAACACCATGCCTCGGCTTTCGATCAGATTGAAAACTTCCTTGACTTCTCCGAATTTCTCATACATTTCCTTAATTTCATGTGCCTTGAGATTGTACTAGAAACGTGTGTATGTTGATGTAATAATTCAAAGCAGTTGTTTCTTTTAGCTCTTTTTTTTTCGTTCGTCTCTGGAAACGATCCTACAAAGAACTCTTGACTCTCAAAAACGACAAAGATATTAGAATTTACCTGAATATTTCTCACAAATAATGTTCGGCAAGGTTTTTCTCGTGCTACACGTTGCTCTATGTGGGAAGGAAGCCTTTCAACAGATCTTCTCGAATCATCATCATTGTTCAAAGAAACTATATGGATGCATGAATGTGTATAGAGTGTGTATGGTGGAGGGCGGGGGCGTGTAATGTAGATGTGTGGAGTATGGTGTAAAAAATATTCAAACGTTATCCATCAATGTCCTGTCTCGCTCGCACTCTCTCTCTCTCTCTCTCTCGCCAGCTTTTTGTTTCCATTCTCTCTCGCTTTCACACGTTTCATAAGTCCTCTTCTTCCTGCTCCCGTGTGTTATGTGTCAAGAATCGGGGTAGATATATAAGGGCGGTAAAAATTCAAAAGAAACAGGCGAGAGATAGGAAAGAGGAAGAAGGAAAAAAGAGATTGAAGAAGCTCAAAATAGAAGAGGGGGGGGAAAGAAAAAGCTCTCTTACCACGATCCTCGTCCCAACTTTCTTTTTTGGGCTCCCAACGACTTTGACCTGTTCTACGAGGAGGTGCTGTTTGATAACTACTTGGACTTGGAGAATTGAATGACGATCGGCTTAGATTGGACGTGTTCATAAAGTCGTTATACTCTGATGAAGGTCTTTGCTGTTGATATTGCTGGTGCTGCTGAGGCTGCTGTGGTTGGAATCGTGAACCTTTAGCTCTCATCATGGCGCCACCACCTCCACCACCACCACTCATTCCTCTGTCGTTGTTAAACATATTTCTTCTTGGTTCACCGCCAGGGCCACCACCACCGCCACCATTGGCACGACCATAAAAATCGTCACGTTGTTGCTGCTGTTGCTGTTGATGAGGTGCTTGATTTCCCCCACGGAATCCTCCTCTTGCTCCTCCGCCAGGACCACCGCGAACTTCATAAGGTGAAAAACGAGTCTTTCGGGGATCCATGACTTATGAATTTAATACTGTTTTTTTTTCCTTCTTCGACGACGACGTTGACTGAACGATAACACGTAATAAATGTGTAGGCGTAAAAGCTCTTGCTGAGAAATAGAGGAATAGAGAGTGGTCTTGAAACGAAATAAGAAAAGAAAAAAAAAACGGATGCTGCCTCTTTTTTTTTTTTTCTTGTGTCAAGTGAATGTGTTAAGGTGTATGTGTATGTGTATATGTGTGTGTATGTATATGGCTTGCTGGTTGATTCTCTCTTCACTTCTCAAGCTTAAGAATCGCTGTGTATTCCTTTTTCTTATGTTCTCTTGCTTTGCTTGTTCTGACTTGAAAAAGAACCTTTTCCGTTTGAGCGCGCGCGTTGAGGTTGAGAATAAAGAAAAAGAGAGAGAGAGAGAGAGAGGGAAGTGAAAAAATAAATAAAGTACTGGGAAATAAGCCGCATCATGATGATAAAAAGTAAAAAGGTCCGACTCGTGTTTGGGCTATTCGGAACCAAGCTATATGCTACTTGGGCTGTAGTCGCACATGCATCGTATAATTAGTCGCCAGGCTCTCGTTCTACCATTCGTTTTATTCCGGTTTTTGCATGCCGTTGACGACAACCATCTAGAACACATTGAGTCTAATGTATACAGCCCCCTGAGCATGGTTGTATATGTTAAATTCTAACAACTGATAATTCACATAGCAGACATGGTACGTATACAACTGTACTTGTGGAGTCCTTACTGCAAATCAAATCGATGGTTCGACAAGTCGACCAACTTTTGCGAATATTCAAATTATCGCAAGAGCACTGTGATGTCTTGTGACCTATTTTCCTACATGGCATATATACTAATTTTTCAACTTTGGTTGACGAGTGCGTCCTTTCCCTGGATGTCGGCGTATATTGAGGCACATCATTTTTGTTGAGTTCTACTGGGCCTTATCACTCCTTGTTATTGTTGTTGTCGCCGATTTGTTTAATGACAAATTGCGTCAATCATAGACGGAGAAGGAGCAGCACGAGCAACGCTGTAATACACACCAGACACTCTGTGCAGCTAAAGAGATAACAGAGCTATTTATAGTACATATGTTAGAATGCTAGTAGTGAAGAAGACCACTTGACAACAGAAACTACATAGCGTCGATGTCAGCAACTGCAGCATCGATACACTCGTTAGGTTTCTGTTAGCTTAAGTATAGATTAAAAAGGAAAAAAGTCAAGTCCTGGTTGCACGCGGATGACAGCAAAAGAGAGGGGAAGGTGCGTGAGGGAGTTATTTGAAGGTACAATAAAAGTATAAAGGAACAGATGATGGGGATGGATAACAAGCAGGGGTTATGGTCATACCGGTTTGCATCCGTTGCGAATGCGGCGTACCATCACAGTAGTTAGTCTGTCGGCGTCCTTTGTTGAAATCTGAGAGAGATGTGTAAAGACGATCAATAAGTGATAGTCATCAAAGCTTAAGCCTATATACTAGTTGGGCAGCGAGTAATAGCAGTACAAAAAGTTACTCGTTGGTTTTACCATGCTTTTTCGATCGGATCACTCAGAAAGCAGTAGCTGCCAAAGGCACTGACATCTCCGTAGGAGAAATCCAATCTTGACGACAATCCTGTTTAGTGATCCAGCCATCGTCCCCTGTGTATGCAGTTGCTTGTCTTTGTAGGATGATGATTCGACATAAAACTCTCAACGGATGAATGCTGACCAATGAGCAGTTCGTCAAGGTTTATACGTGGATGGATTTGCATGAACCAAAAAATGAGGAAACGTCGATAACTGGTTTTACTACAGCCGCATACACGCGGTTCTGGCAACCCATGATTTCAGCCATGGCATGATGGCAAGGTTGTTAAACGAGCAAGAATAAAAACGCATGCTCAGCCAGGTCCTCGTAATACCTTTGTACAAGCGTCATATTTGGGGTTGTTGTTCAATTCGACTTTTCGAGCCGACGAGTGTATATGGTGACGGAAGTCCGGCAGAATCTGTACACTTTTGCTTCCAATGTTACTGGTGCCGCCAACCCAAGTAAACGCGCTCTTCATCCAGTGTCATAAAAAGATAGTTTGAAGAACGCAAGGGGCTATGTATCAGTTGAGCAGAGAAATAGACAGGCTATCATACTAGTGAATACAAGGTAGAAAGAAATAAAGATAGAAGTGATACCTTTATTTTTAATCTACCGGGCTTAATAAATTAACTACTACATAGGATATCGCATCACATTTGAGATTTCTTTTTTGTACACGTCAAGTGGCGAAGCACATTACAGTAGTTTTTGGGTAGTATGCTAATGCATTCACTTTATCAAATTGAAAATCATTCTTTCTTGCATAAAGTACGTGTAACTTGAATCACTTGTAGTATCTTCTGTACATCGATCTTGATACATTAGTAAGGATTCAAGCACAAGAAAAGTATTTCTTTCATTTCCCTTTTTTGGCACCATAGGCTATTATCGCTTGTATGTAATTGTCTCTCGTTTGTGTTCATCATTGGCTGTTTCGTTTTGTCAGCGGTGGAGGAGTTAAAAGTTCCTTGTCTGGGTAGTAGCTATACAACATACCTAACCCAGATCATTTCGATTTTGCAAGAACCGACAGAACCGACCAACGAAAGGCTCTGGTCTGATATGCCCTACATATTTATGCAGTCGACACCTCCGTTATCTTAAAAAGCCAACAACAATGGAGTTGGATAAGTACGATGATGGCGAGAGTGAAATTCAAACGTGAACTTCTCGGGTGATATCTACAGTGAAAGATGAAAAGCATTGGGACTGGTTTCATTTTTTTTTTCCTTCTTGGCGGCCTATGCATAACGGACAGCTGCAGTCCGCTGACAATGAAGCTGATTGGCTCTTGACCTTTCATTACCCATCAAGCCCGACGTACCGTTCTCTCTCTCTCTCTCTTTTTTTTTGCTTGGCATTCCACAATTCATATCAATCACAATGAACAGGCTTTTTGGTACAAATAAACGCACACCTAAACCAACACTGAATGACGCAATATCTTCGGTAAATATATATATCAACCATGGTACTGCATTCTTAAAAACCTAAAGTCCTAATCTGGATATGTAAAAGACGGACGTTCGGTCGGATGCCGTTGAAGTCAAGATTCGCAAGCTGGATGCCGAACTTACACGATATCGCGATCAAATGAAGAAAATGCGTGAAGGACCGGCCAAGGTACAGTGTCAAGCTTTGGGTACAAAAGGGACAAAAGGGTGGTCGAGAGAGAGAGAGAGAGAGAGAGAGAGAGAAAGAGGTGTTTGATATACAACTCCTCGAAGGAACCTATAATAACGGATGCACATGTGTTTGGCTATTTTTCCAGAAAGCGGTGCAGCAAAAAGCACTACGTGTGTTGAAGCAACGAAAGCTGTATGTATTTGCTCTTTAAAGTTCTTGAAAAGAATGGTATTTACTTTGTAGAAATCATGAATCTGCTAATTGCTAGATACGAAGCACAACAAGATAATCTTCAACAACAGTCGTTCAACATGGAACAAGCACAAATGACAACTGAGAATTTGCGTAACGTGATGGCGACGGTGGATGCCATGCAAACTGCTAACAAGGAGATGAAGAAACAATACAAGAATGTGAACCTGGATAAGATTGATGTAAAGTTTTTTCATCTTTTGTTCTAGCGTCATCCAAGTGCTTACATATACCACGTCGCTGTGTTCTTTCTTTTCGTATATAATAGCAATTGCAAGACGAGATGGAGGATCTAATAGAGCAGGCAAATGAAGTGCAAGAGTCACTGGGCCGATCCTATAACCTGCCTGATGATGTAGACGAGGATGATTTGGAAGCAGGTAGTGTTGATTGATTGCCCTGGCTATTCTGGCTTTGGTAAACTTGCTAATAGGGTGATACGCTTTTTTTCCTTTGTTAAACAGAATTGGATGCACTGGGTGATGAGCTGAACTTTGAAGAAGAAGACGTACCCTCGTACTTGCAGGAAGACGTGGCAGAAGACTTACCAAAGGCATCGGAAGCAGATCCGAAGCAGCAAAAGAACGATGTCCAGCTGGACGAGTTTGGCTTGCCGATAGCAGCACAGACCCCTATGAAGGCCTAGTCTCTACATATATATTCACCCCCCACCCAAACTTTTGCGCATCATTTCATTGTATCCCCTCCCCCCTCCTCCCTCCTTACCATTGCCACCGCCACACATACATCCTTAACCCACGCCATCCTTTTTTCTTTTGTAGCCTTTGCTTAAGCAAGTGACTCTCTGTAAATGGCTTTGATAACGTAAAAAGTTTTATTTTTTTTATTCCAAAGGAAGCAAAAAAGGCACAATGGACAATCACTCGGTAATAAGAAAGCTTTCATACACATGGATAAAAAAAAACCCCATCTTCACTTTCTTTTTTTTTTGTGTACTTTTCGTTATTTCCCCTCCCCCTAAAAACCTGATGCCTTTACAGTTCAGTCAGTCAGAGTTACTGCTGTTGACCGGTTCAACCGACCAAGATGTCAAAGTCCACACACCCGACGTTCCTCCCGAATCCACACGATTATATCCCAAACTTGTCGGCTCCCATTGGGAATGTTACATTACGACGGACTGTCTCGTCTTGGGCCGCAGTCCAGGCCCCGGCGCACCACCTCCACGCAACGCGCGACAGCATCGCGTAGACGTTGATTTTGGATCCCACAAACGCGACGTGTCTCGACGCCATGCAGACATTCGGTTCCACGCACACAAGAAACGGTGGGAATTGCGAGTGTACGGCAAGAATGGCGTCAAGGTGAACCACGTGTGGAAAAGGCCTCGCAGCGGTGGGTCGGTTGTCCTGACCACGGGTTCTTTGCTCGAAATTGGCGACAATAACCGTTTCGTGTTTATCTTGCCGGATCGATCCGCTCCCGTGACGACGTTGGACGGCAGATTGGAGACTCTTATTACGGAAGCGTTCAAGGATCATCCGCTGTTGGATACGACCTCCATCGTTGATTATGTGAAGCAGCATAATAATAGCAACACGGCAGCAGCAGCACCAGCACCGGCAGTATCATCTACCACGTCCACACCATCGTCTGCCACAACACCGGTGACGCCTGCCACTCCCGCCACTCCGGCTACCCCAGGAACACCAGGAGATCAGCACGTGCACGAGCAAGAAGAACAGCAGCAACAGGAAGAAACACCCGTATCGTATGACCGCGCTTCAGTATTACATGCCCTTGTTCTTAGTCAAAAGTTCCAGTTGAAAGACGGCCACTGGAGCATACGCCAAGAACAATCACATGAAAAGAAACAACAGGAAGAAAGGTCATCGCAGCAACGAACGCAAACTGATCACCCATTGTATAAGCAAATGAGTCTTGATGCTATTGAAGAACATGATGATGGAGACGATTCACAACCGACGATGGGATACGAAAAACAACAAGAACAACAACAGCGGAAACCTCATACATCACTTGGTGTGAGTGTACAGAAAATATATTCTACATGGATTGCAGCGAAAAAGCGATCACTGCATGACCTTGGCTCTACAAGCGAAGAAGCAAATGGGGATCCAGGCCGGAAGCGACTCGTGCCGTATAATCCAGGTAAGAAAAACAGAAACGTGTATATAATACACCACTGTCAAGCAAGAACATGGAACACATCATAATATGATCCTGACACTCCTACCGGCATTTTCTTTCAAATAATTTACATAGAGACGGATAATCCTTGGAAAGACGTGATGTGGCGAGAGTTGAGTATTGCCAACGATGATCCGGTTGTTTCAGCTACTAGCAGTCGTGTTGATTAATTTTCTGCAAATTGTATCATGTAATTTTAACACCCCCAATCTACTTTTGTTAAATCACAAAGTGGTAATAAATATTACTAGGTATATATATATATATAGAGAGAGAGAGAGAGAGCACTCTATCTTCTCTACAGCAATCAACTCTATAAAGGCTGCTTAGTCTGAGCAAAGGCCCCGACGCATATAAAAAAGGAAATCAACCACCATTCAACAAATTACTTGTAGTAATAGTAGATCCCAATCTGAAGGCCCATGGAACTCTGGATATGTTGACCTTAATTTGCCCACTGTATACATCATCGTGTATGTAGTGTGCAGAATATATTTATCAGCGTCTCCCGAGTGCTTTTTAAAAAACACATCTTTTTCCTTCCCAAAACATCATAGCAACGTGGCATCATAGCAACATACGGGTTGCACTGGAACGGTCTGGTAACAGCATACTGAAAAACCAACCTTAAAATGGTAAAGCTTTCGACGTGTCGATCCCCCATTATTTAATTCGATCGCCGCAAAAAAAAAAAAAAAACCAAGGCTAGTCGAGAATCCCCCCGTTTCTTTCTTCTTCTTCTTTCTCCCAATATATATACCATGTCTGGCGAAAGCGTTATCCTTGTTACTGGTGGCTCCGGTCTTGTTGGCAAAGCCATTGAATGGGTTATTGAGAACGACAAGACCGAGCAATTCGGCAAACTTTCGGGTGAAAAGTGGATCTTTTTGACTTCCAAAGATGGTGATCTCAGGTACCAGTTATTCCTCATTTTCCTTAGAGTTCCATCTCGGAAGGGGTGTGGTGTGGGGATAGACAGGCAGGGAAACAGATTGGCAATGATGGAATGATGATGATGATGATGATGATGACCTGAATATGGCCATGGCTTATTAATCCATTCCACGTCTTTTTTTCTTTTTTAAAAAAAAAACCTAATAGAAAATTCGAAGACACCAAAGCTATTTTCGAAAAGTACAAGCCCACGCATGTCATTCATCTTGCTGCCATGGTGGGTGGTTTGTTCAAGAACATGAAGTACAAGCTCGACTTTTTGCGTGAAAACATGCTCATGAACGACAATGTACTCGAGCTCTCGAAGCAGTATGGCGTAAGTTTTGCATTTTTGTGTATGGGTAGCCTTAAAAAACGGTGGCGTGTCTCTACTTGCGTGTGTTTATATATATATATATATATGCACCCCTATTCTTGGTATAGGTCAAGAAGCTCGTGTCGTGCTTGTCGACCTGCATTTTCCCTGATAAGACCACGTATCCCATTGATGAAACCATGGTCCACGACGGTCCTCCCCACGAGTCTAACTTTGGTTACGCTTATGCCAAGCGTATGATCGACGTCCAGAACCGGTAAAAAGAAGAACTGGGGTGGCACTATGCAAGAGTGATGATATTAAATAATCTTGTCTTTTCTCACAGTGCCTACAACGAACAGTACGGCTGTCACTTCACCTCTGTCATTCCTACCAACGTGTACGGTCCTCATGACAACTACTCGCTTGAGGATTCGCACGTGCTTCCTGGTTTGACCCACAAGTGCTACTTGGCCCAGAGTAAGCTAATCAACACTGGGATGGGACTGTGGGGGGGGGTGGTCTTGGCGAGTGATATCGGATAGCGCTTATATCCATGAGAGCTCGATGTTTAAGCTCATAGTGTGATGTATTTGTTAGAGAACGGCACTCCCTTCGTTGTGGGTGGTACTGGCAAGCCCCTCCGCCAATTCATCTACTCCCGCGATTTGGCCAAGCTCTTCATCTGGACCTTGAGAGAATACCAGGAAATCGACCCTATCATCTTGTCTGGTAAGAAAGAAAAAGTGGGTTTCTATTTTTGAAATCTTTCACTCAAAATGTCCCCCCATGTAGTCGGTGAGAAGGATGAGGTTTCCATCAAGGATGTCGCTGATGCTATCGTCAAGGCCATGGACTTCCAGGGTGACTACTCGGTAAGTTTTTTGTCTCTCTCAAAAAAAAGAATTGGGAATAAGAAAGTTATTGAAACCTTGTTTGTTTTTGGTATCCTCCCCCCCAACTAGTTTGACACCGCGCGTGCTGATGGTCAGTACAAAAAGACCGCCAGCAACGATAAGTTGATGAAGTACTTGCCCGACTTTGAGTTCACTCCCTTTGACCAAGGTAAGAAAAAGAAAAAGCACGAGAATCTTCGGGAAAATGGCTGACTTTTTATTACCCAAAAAAAAAAACAGCCGTCAAGGAATCTGTGGAATGGTTCGTTGCTAACTACGAAACCTGCCGCAAGTAATCATTAATGCAAGAAGCCATAAAATCTGTACACACGCACACTCACTCACTCACTCACTCACAACACACACACACACACACACACACACACACACATATATATATATATATATACACCCACGCATGCAAATCGCTTTAAAATATATATATATATAAAGTATTTCCATACACACATGCAACGCACTTTCTTAAGGGTACATGGTGCTGAGGGTGCGGTATGACCACTGCGGCAATCAGGGTCCACAGCTCTAGGGTATGCGTGATCGAGAACCGTGCTGTGGCCAAAGAGAGGGAGTGTATAAGAGCGATTGGGTGGGAAAAAGGCAAGAGGGACTCACCCAAAGCAGAACGAGTGCTGCCCATTTTCTTGTGCTACTGGTCATTCAGCAAATGGAATTACATAACGGTGGTGCTTGTGTTGCATGTGTGTGTGTGTCGACAGGAAGAACCGCGTCCTCTCATTACTACTGCTGCTACTGCTACTTTTGTGTTGTGTGGTCTTTTCTTTATTCTTTCCCCGAGCATGAGACCGTTTTGTTGATATTATCTTTTCCTTTATCGCACACGCATCGGTAGAGAAGGTACCACAAGGGGAAGAATAGGAGCATTTTGGAGGGTCATGCCCTTCTTTGTAGTGTGCCTGTCTCGATTGCTTGCACCAAATAGCGTGGTGCGGGATCTTCGAGTCTCCCCCAACGTCGATTTCTGAATCTGTAAAAGTATATATAACAGCCACACCCTTGAACCACCCGTCCGTGAAAAATAAGACGAGCTGTCTTCTCTCCCCTTCTCTCTTCTTCTTTTTTCTGCCACACGAGACCTTGTTTTCTCTTTCCTCCTTTTCTTTCTCTCTTTTTCCCTAACCAAGACACACACACACACAGACACACTACTACCCATGGTGAACGACGATTTGACCCCGGAAAAGGTAGCCTCGTACCTGCCGTTCTCTGGCTTGCAACCAGAAATCCCTGGCCGCATCATCAACGTGACGCACCAAATCCCATACAACATTGTGCGCAAAAGACATGCAGCCGAAGCAACAACAACAACAACCTCCCCACCACCACCGGCCCCTTCTGCCGCGATGGCAGCAGCCATCACATCCGAAGAAGCCGGTGCACCGATCAGTAAAGTGTCTCGAAAACATCATCGACAGCACACGTTGCGTGCCAAATTCCACACCGACGATTGGACAGTCGTACAGCGCCGGGGCCATTCTGCCTTGTATAGTGGCTTACAAAGCCTGAGCAAAGACTGGGAAACGATCCACATTGGCTGGACTGGACCGATCAAGGACGTGAGTCGGATGAAAAAGACCACAGAGGTCTCGGCAGTCGACAGACTGGCGCTCAAACAATTGTTGTGGGACACGGGCAAGATTGTGCCGATATTTCTCGATAGTACGTCACGTGGACACTACGAAGGTTACTGCAAGGAGGTCTTGTGGCCATTGCTTCACTATGTCGTGTGGTCAACAGCCACAGATGGACGTGCCGAGAAGCGGAACTGGGCCGATTATAAAGCTGTGAATCAACAATTTGCACAGACCATCATTGATCAATATCGTCCCGGCGATATCAGTAAGTCTGAGACAGAGAATATATGTGTGCCATATATATATATATATATACATATACGCAGCCCTAATGTGGGGGCTTTTTTGTGTGTTAGTCTGGATCCATGATTATCACTTGCTGCTCGTGCCTGAAATGGTGCGCAAGGCCATCCCGGATGCTACGATCGGTGTCTTTTTTCATGCAACGTTTCCGAGCTCAGAAATTTTTCGGTGCTTGACAAGTAAAGTATAGAGTTTGCAATGGGTCCGAAGAGACTGCTGTTTCCAATGGGGACAGACTAAGCGGGGGCGTGTGCGTGGGTGCGTAAATGCGTGTGTGACAGGGGGGGAACGGCATAAGCAGCCGCCTTTTTTTCTATTATTTTTTATACTCAAACCTTATTTGTCTTTCCACCACAAACCAACCAACCAACCAACCAACAACGACACAAAAACAGCCCGAAATGAAATTCTGCAGGGCATCCTCGGCGCCAATCTGATTGGGTTCCAGGTAATTCCGTGTGTTATCATAGTACTGCCCTCCTCCCATTTCCCCCCGCGTCTCCTATCGCGTCGAAGAAAAAAAAAACAAAAAAAACAAGCTCATTTATATGGAAACAAACGAATACAGACATTCGCTTATACCCGCCACTTTATCTCGTCATCGACCCGAGTGCTTGGCTGCGAATCGACCTTGACGGGCGTCAACTTGAATGGCCAAATCGTATCGGCAGGCACGTTCCCCATCGGCATTGACGTTGACCGTGTCTACACGTTCTGCAAGCAACCGCACGTCCAGCCAAAAATCCAAAGCATCCGTGAAATGTATCAAGACCGACGGATCATCATTGGACGCGACAAGCTAGACGCAACCAAGGGCATCTTGCAAAAACTCCATGCGTTTGAAAAGTTCCTCCACGACTATCCCGCATGGCGCAACAAGGTCGTGTTGATCCAGGTGACCACACCCACCCACGGTGACCATGCCAAATTGGAAGGCAAAATCTCAGAAACAGTCAGTCACATCAATGGCATCTACGGCTCGCTCGAGTTCACACCCATCCATTATTTCCATCAGGATATCGATCGCGACGAGTATTATGCCTTGTTGTCCGTCGCTGATGTGGGTCTGATCACCAGTGTGCGCGACGGCATGAATACCACATCGTTTGAATACATTATTTGCCAGCACGAAACGTCTCAGGGCCCGTTGATATTGTCCGAGTTCACTGGAACTGCTGGCTCCTTGAGTGCTGCACTCTTGGTGAACCCGTGGGACTATGCGGGTGTAGCCAGGGCGATCAATGACGCATTGGTCATGTCACCTGAAGAAAAACAGACACGCCACGAGGTGAGTTTTTTCTCCCCACAGGGCAACACCCTCTTTTGCCTTTGTGTTTCATCGAACCACAAAAAAAAGTCATGTACTATGGCGGGCTCATCATGATGTCTTTCTTTGCAGCAATTGTACAAGCATGTCACAAGCCATACCGCTGCCTCCTGGTCTCATTCGTTTGTCACACAGCTTGTGAGCACAAAGGAGCAACAATCGTTGCAGCCACAGTCGGCTCAAGAGCTTGATCTCCTTGAAACTGTGAGCGCTTACAACAGGGCACAGAAGCGCTTGTTGATGTTCGACTATGATGTAAGTCGTGTCAAAAGTATGGATTATGAGCTAAAGGTGGGGGGTGGGGGTGATCTGAACCCAATCGTAAAAAAAAAAAATAATTATATAGGGCACATTAACCCCGATCGTCTCTGTGCCTTCGGACGCCAAACCATCTCCCGATATGCTCGAAGCATTACAAAAGATATGCAACGATCCAAAGAATCAAGTATGGGTGATCTCCGGGCGTGACCAAGAAACGCTGGATAACTGGCTCGGACATGTCAAGAACTTGGGCTTGAGTGCAGAGCATGGATGCTTTATCAAGAAGGGCGATACCTGGGAAAACATTGTGGAGCAAGTCGATATGAGCTGGAAGGAAGAGGTGTCCAAGATCTTCAATTACTATACGGAACGAACGCAGGGCTCGTTTATCGAGAACAAGAAATCATCCATTACTTGGCACTATCGTTTGGCTGACGCTGAATACGGGTAAGCAAGAGAGACACTTTTTGGATCACAGCAACAATGCAGACACATGGAGCTTAAATAAAATTACATGCAATGATTTTTTCTTTTTAGAGAGTTCCAAGCCAAAGAATGCCAAAACCATTTGGAAAACAACATTGTGCCCAAGCTTCCGGTAGAGATCTTGGTGGGCAAAAAGAATCTGGAAGTGCGTCCTGTGGATATCAACAAGGGGGTTGTTGCCAAACGGATTCTCAACGATATCTCGGATGTGGACTTTGTTGTGTGTGCTGGTGACGACAAGACGGATGAGGACATGTTTCGTTTCCTGAGTGCCGCTCACTTGTCTGTGACCATCACAAGCGGTGCTGTCACGAGCTCACCGCCATGGACGCCATTGCCTTCAGCATCCTCTTCTTCGTCTGGTTTACCACCCACGACGACGACGACGATCACTGGTATCAACACTGCAAACACCAAGACTCGCTCACCCTCGGTTGTCTTGACCTCGCCTCCGCTACCGGACACTTGGAAACATCCGAATCCTGATCTCTTTTGTATCACCGTAGGTCCGGATAACAAAAAGACAATGGCAAATCGACGTGTAAGAACAAGCCATCAAGTTGTAGAGTTGTTAAAGTTATTATCGAGTGTTTCAGGATAGCGGGTGTCGCAGTAATTTTCCGATATTCAAATAAAAGAACCTTAAAAACTATCAGTCTGCTGTTACCAAAGAAAAAAGGCTGTCCAGTAAATGATCTTTACTACTGTTGATCCCAGTTACTGCTATTGTATTATGCACATGAGGCAATGGATGCTTTTCGCACAGCAAAACCGCAAAGCTGCATGACTTTGGAGACTCAAAGCTTATGGCTTTGTTTTACCATTTGTAGTAATAGCAGTAGCAGCAGCAGTAATAAGACGCGTGTTCGATTCATACAAAAAAAAAGACGCGTGTTCTCTCCTTCTACTTAACTCCTCAAGAATATTTTATAAACTTGCCACCCAAACGAACGCCAGGTGTTTGGCAACGAATCACAAGCATCTTTTTCCAGCTACAGCAGAAAAACTGGTGTGAAAAGAACTATTAGAATGGCACAGCCTTTGAATCTTGGCGACACGCCGAACGTCCCACCACCGGTTGATCAGCCATCACACAAACGTTTTTCTCATGTGCGATCATGACGCCAATGCCCGCTAGCAAAGGGAGGATAAGCAACCGATCGCTTTCGTAACTGTTCAGTCATTCTACTTTCCCTTCTTACACAGATTGTAAGCAAGGTTATGGTATCGAGGAAAAACTGAGCATCCAAGCTTTGACTCCTACCGAGGATCTTCTACTTTTGCCCTTGCCCGGAGGCAAAGAAAAAAAAAAAAGAGAAGGCTGCCACTTGCATTTACAAGTGGTGGTGGGTATACAACCAATTGAATTATGATGTTGAATAAGAGAACAATGTGCTTATAGACGTAATGTGATCCAGGTATGATACCCGAGCTGCTAGAATTCAGTACTGCAGCGAGTGCATAGACCATTTCATTGTTTTTGATGCGTCACCACACACTTACGGCTAACATCTTTTTTGCTTCTTCCAAACACGCAAGCACGGACACGAGGTTCCTTTTCCGCTTTGCTGAGCAAGCTACACACTCGTGACTGCTAGGAGAGCAGGAACATACGGCAAAGTCTTCATCGGTGAGCTACTCATGGAGACATAGATCATCATGTTTTATATTGAAAAAGGCCATACTTACGTTTTGTATTTGTAGCTGTGGACACTGAAAAAGTCCCAAGCTTGTCGCTGTCAAACTGGAAGCTCAGGCAAAGAGCTTGCTCTTGTGCTACGAGTATCAGTGCTACCAGGATCTTATTGCAAGCCAGGCGTACCACGCGCCTGAGCCTATATACTTTGGTCCTGAAGGCAAATAGAACGCTTTAGTTTGATGGAGCTCATGGGCCGTAAGTATATGTCACAATTGAGATCTATCATAGTGAAGCAAAGACTGGAAAAGAAAGAAAAAATACTTACTTTACAGCGATCTTCCAACTCTAGCGTCCATTCAAAGCCTGTTTGACATGTGCGGCAGAGCATTCAAGCCAACCACAGTAGGCATTCTCGCCATGCAATTTGTAAAGTATCAGTCCTCTTTTCCGTTTGTTTGAACAATACATATACAAAGCGGACAACTAACGCATAGGCATTTGAATATTTAGTTACGACGGTTGCAGTCTATCCACACCCATGGCTTAATATCGCGGGCTATACCCACTGCGATATTAAGCCAGATAACATCGTCACGGGTGCTGAAGTCACCGATGATCAGGTATATCTGATCGATTTTGGGTTTGGAACAAAGTTATGGTTGGCGGAGAGCACATTGCTTGGAGAGAAGGTGTGCCTATGATTGGCACACCTTTGTTTTCAAGCGTCAATGCAGACACCGCGGAGAAGGTAAACTTAACTGTTGCTGCAGCAATTTCTTATCCCCGTTTGTTATCATAATTCTTTCCATTTATGTATTGACATACTCGTCCTGGTTTTTTTTTAATAGAACAAAGTGCAAGAAGTGATGTAGAAGCTCTCGGTTATGAGATGCTGTATCTGCTTCGCGGAACGTTTGCCTTGGGAAGGTGTGTCGTTAGAAGAGGCGAAGAAGAAGAAATCCGAGCTTAGCAAAGATGCCAAGGAGCTTTGCCTCGGTGCCCCAACCCAGTCTGGTCGACTACTTTGAGGATGGTGCAGAAGCTTGGTTTCAAAGAGAAGTCAAAGTATGAGAAGCTCTCTAATTATGTTGCAACATGAGTTTGAGTGGGTGGTACGTTTAATCGCTTCTGCAGATGTCTTTCTTTTGTTTTGCTCGCATATATTCAGCAGACACTTCAACGAGACAATATACTCACTATCATTCTTGCTTTTTTTGTCACATCAAGCAAAGCAACAGTTCAGATCTGCACAACAAGAGCGTGCTGAAATCCCTTGCCCACCCCACGACACTCTTACCGCTTCTGCCGCCTCAACTGTATCATCACCGGCCCCATCATCACCATCACCATCACCAAAGCCTGCCTCTACATTATCCGCGCCCTCCCAAGCTACATTCCAAATTCTATATATTTCAACGAACCTTAAAGACGCTTATACTCAATCAAGAACGCTTGGTTGTGTGTTTTTAATCACTGGATAAAATCGACACGTGTAAGTGGTGCGTGCTTGACACAACTTATATTACATATGCAGATCCCGGCTTGTATACACAAATTCCGCGTTTTTACTCACAAGTACGCGCTTCGCCAGTGTTGATTTTCTCAATCTTTCAAGCGGTGTGATATACTTGTGGCTACATGGATCGCAAAAGCGGATGCTTCTGAAATGACGGTGTCGGCTGACTGCGGTGATATACATGGCAATGATAAAATGTATGTGCTTATCTAAATGGCAAGTTTGCCAGTGACGCTAGCGAGTCATCACAGACACACTGCTGTCCAATAATTTTAGCCCAACACATTGCAGCACATCAACAATTATGCAAACGATGAATCAAAAGTTGTTCTTATTCATCAAAAAGCATAGTAAGACCGATCACCTGCTATTATTGCGTTCTAGGAAACTTGTCCTGCCTTTTTCTCTAAATGCATCATGCACAGGATAGCCTTACTTTATTAGCTAGTTGTGAGCAGCAACACAGAATCGGAAAATCTTATAGTATTGAAGTGCTTTCATGACAGCAGTTCTCTTGTCCTAGTGTCGTCGTAGACATCACGTCTTGCCCAAATAAATACAGTAGTCCGATTCATGCAAGCGGAAATGAAAGGTTTGATCCTCCTATCATACCCGTGAAGGCTGTCAAGACCATCCCATTCTCTTGTTGCTTTTTTCGGCATTGTACAACTACTGCTACGTTATGCAAGTTGACTCTAGAAAGATCTCTGCCAGAAAGGAGTGTAAGTTTAGACAATGGAATAGCTCATTGAGCCGGGGAATGTGTGATTTATAGCACCGAGTGTTTCAATAAAGAGCGTAGTACTGTAATACTTTGCAATAGTTACTTTTACTTATTTTTTTTTTGCTATTTTTAAGTACGCACTCTACCAACTTTACCATTGTTGACGACGTGTTGTCAGCATATAACAACGTCCAGGGGTCACAAACAACGCTCACAGGTGCAATTACTACTTCTACATATCATTGATCCTGTCTGCTGAAAAAACAACTCATCGCCACTCATTTCCCCCCTCCACCAATAGCAGCCAATAATTTAGACATTCACGTATATTGCGATCGCTTCTGATGAAAAATGCTTACCTAAAGTTCCCTAAACAATCCATCGGTGTGCTCTCGCTGGTTGTCGAGAGTTGCAACAATCGTATCGATGCACAGAATTGTGAGAATTGTATCGATGCGCCCTCGCTGGTCGCCGAGATGTTTGATGGCGATTTCAAGCTATCAGTAGTATGTTAAGAAGAGACAATGACGAATTCGCGGGCTTGCTTTAGTCATACACTACTATACTGTCTATGCCAAAAGATTTCTCCACATCATAAAACCAATACTAGTGCAAAAAGGGGAGCTTCTTTTTTACCTCTTCCGTTTCTGTTAACGGTTCAGTTCCTTCTATTGTATTGTATTATTTTGAGCACCAGCCGCTAAAGACGCTCCAGAAGCTGCTGCTGATGATGTGTTAATACCGGTACCAGGCGTAGTAGAGGAGGTTGCGGGAATGAGTAATGGTATTGTTGTTCGTATTGTTGCTGCTGTGCGTTCAAAAGCCGATAAAGCGTAAGAAATGGTGACATGGAACACGGCGAGAAAGAGGATAGACAAGGTAAAGTACTGTACTGACGTGAGTCAGCAGGAAGCAAAGGTAGTCTAGGAACGAGGAGCTCAGGAAGAGCGCAACACAGATCTTTCTTCTTTGGATAGTGACAAGTGATGCGTGTGTCAAACCTCGAACGTTCCAACAGCTTTCCCTTGAAACGAAAACTCCGTAGAGTGAAAGCGCATTGTTACGCAACGATTTGGCCAATTTACTTGGTACTCAAAGTGCACAAAGGAATGGCGGGTGAACAAGGTGATCAACGGAGCAACGAATTACGCGCAAAAGGGTCAAAAGATGTACAGTAGGAAGTCATTGCTTATAATGTTACTCTCCTGATCGTCCCAATGGATTTTGAACGCTGCTCAAAAAGAACTTTATCAGCAGCAATGAAAGCCAGTGAAGGGTGAGTCAGTTTCACTAGCGGCAGCGTATACTTACCATGAGCGGTCAGCTTATCTGCGGCAGCACACTTGGATAGAGTATGAATTCGGAATGGATGGAGGGAGGTTACACGGCGTAGTTCAGAGAACTGTTGGCGGATGGCGAAATTATAAAGCAACAGTAGACAAGCACGCTTCACAGTAAAAGATAACGATCTTTATTTTATATACTGCAGCGTTGGAGTCAAGAGTGTGTTGTATCTATTCCCGCACACCGCACATGCAGTCAAAAGATACTAATCAAATAGAATAGTCTGTGGACTACGCTTTATACTGTTTATCTTGTTGGGTGAAATGGAAACTGGCTGCTGGGAGGATCGTGTCCTTGATATTTACTAAGCAACTGATGCCGTAGAATCTGTTAAGTTGTTTACCTTGTCAATCACTCCTGTATTGCCATTTGATTGCTCACAGAAAAGCATTTCTTCCGTGAATCTACATGCTCATTCACATTCGTGTCTTTGTTTTCGCTTGACACGGTGCCGTGCACGGACCCCCTCACAACCAAGCGGCGACAGCATCGGAGGTACAGCAGCCCATGGTGAGAGACACGTACCACTACCGCCGAAGCACGCTTGTCTACTTGACCATCAGGTACCACTCCTCCTTTCATTTCCTTTGGTGCTGTATCTTTTGTTATGCCATAGTAGGCAACCCACAAGTTGATACGCAACCCGTTATCTGGGCCAATGAGAATTCACGGGGATTTGAAGTCCCGAACGAGAAAAATGTCTATATAAAGCGAGCAATTTCGCCTTTCTTTTTTCTCTTCTCTTCAGTTCGTTTTGGTACAGCTTTGGTCTGTAGTACAAGGCACTGTTTGGTGCCATGACCAGGTCATTGCTTGTGCTGGGCTATTGTCATAATTCTTTTGATGATCGGCAGATTCAGTGGTCCGCCCTGAAAGAAAATTTGCAATATATACCAGTGGGAATGTGGTCATATACTCCGGCAGCCGATCGTGAACCTTCGGGTGCATGTGATGCCAACGGTATATGTTGGGATAATTAAAACGAACTTTTTTTTATTATTTATTACACACAAATAAGAAAATGATAAACAAAATAAAAATATATTTTTCTTTTTCGCACTCTTCTTATAAACGTTTTACCGCTTTTGCCTCGCCTTTTTTTTATGTGCACGACAAGTTCCTTTTTCTTTTTTCGCGAACAAAAAGCTAATTACTCCCCCCTCCATCCATTCACAGCTCCGTGCTAAACAAAGCGGGGAACAGTGACAGTGGCTCTGTATCGTAGCCGAAAGTAACACGATCACAATGCTTTGGCACTCTTTTTCACTTTCTGTGTTCGCCTAAATTGCCAAAGCAATTGTCAAGAAAAAAATTGTTATCGAGGATATGGTCGGTTATTTTATAAGAGGCAACGCCAGAGCATACGCCAGCAGACCTGTATAATTGTCAGATCTGTAAAAAATTGGAATGTTTTTTTTTTCAGCTGTTCGTCTCTCTCACTCTTCCTGCACGTAGCTTATCACAACACAATTTTCTTATCATTTTGGGTTTCACCTGGATCGAAAAGCTTGCACTAATCTTTCCGATGTGCCTGCCTTTAAAGCGTGATTCTTGTAACAGCTCTTTCCCTCCCCTTACACCTTCACTTCTCTCTTCCTTTTCTTATTTAACTTTACTTCGTTACATATTTTCAAGGTATGCGTTACCTATTTGAAAGTGATGATCGCTCACCAAAGATATCAGGGGGACCTGTTGAAGATATGATATATTTGCTCTACCAAAACATGCACGCACCCACACACACAGGGATGCTGTGTTTTCCAGGCCAAGCGATTCGTTACTTATATATGACTTTTGCGGCTCGCAAACAATAAACCCGAGTATTGATTGAAGCCTTTTCCTTCGTATCGAGAAGTCGATGGTTTTAGAAAGAGCCCTGTTCTAATGTGTATCTGCGTATCGCTATGATAGCATAGATTTAATGAAGTTACTGGTGGTTACAATAGATCAATCTTCAGGGTCCCCCTTTTCCAAATAAAATTCAGGTGAGCTACCTGGTTCGACTTGCTTTTCCTTTGTCGGACATATTATTTCACGAGTCCGGATTATGTTATACAGGCTTTGTTCGATTAAAAGCCTCGTGCCAAATTTCTTTTCGCGCGTCCCCTTTCACATACACGTAATATGACTGATTTGATCTCGATTTTGCCTCCCGAATCATTCAGTACATCTTCTCGTTTATCGGACAGCGGGCTGTGTCGAATGTGTGAAAGTATGTCGCCGCTGGTTATACGCGATCCCCACTTACCAGACAGCCCTGTGGACACTGGTGGGAATCTCGCCTGATGCATGGAACAAAAGGAGCGACGCGATGCTTCAATGTTTGGGACAACAAGTCGAATCAGTATACATCAAATCTCAAGCCACGTATAAAGTACTGGAACGACTTGCTTGGCGAAGATACAGCATTCGCTTCCTTGGTGAAGTAAAACGATACTCTTTTTTTTTGCGTTAAGAGGAA